TTCCGAGGCACTCACTCACTCGCTTTGTCAAGGTTCGCAAGGTCAATGATTTACGAGTATTAGTTCATTTTTTCGCCATTCCATGCCTTTCCATGCCTTTCCATGCCATGCCGTTCCGTTCTGTTGTGATCTCTCCCCGCCTTTGTGTCTCGCCGCCGTCTTGCCCTGTACTAGAGACGTCCTACTGCATTTGTCATTTCCCCGCACTTATTGTCTGTGGCTGATAGGAAAAGCCCCTAGCGCCAGTTGAGTTGAAAATCCTCCTCCTGACACCGCCACCGCCACCACCAGACGCCGCACAGACAGTCACCCACCAGGAGTGGAGTCGTTGGGAGGAAGGGCAGTGACAATCCGAGCGCTGCATTTCCATTAGTTATATTGTGTCAATACTGGTCAATATGGCTGGGCAAATGGACAAGTTAATCGAGGCATGTGCTCGTGTTCGTCCGCCTTTATCCGCTCCGACAGTCGCTGTGCTCCGATCCGAGCCGGAATTTTACAGTCCATTCATCCGTGCGCGTGTGTAAGAGTTTATATGGTCGTATGTGTTTATATAGGACACGACCTTCAAATGCAACCAACCCCTCGAGTGCGGATCAGTAGGTCTAGGGTAGGGGTTGGACAGCAGCAACCCCTGAACCCCCGAAACCCTGCGCGTTGGGATTCCGCTGCAAGGGCTGGGAATTTTCGTGTCTAAGCTTCTTCCGGGCAGCTGCTTTTTTCTGCTTTTCCTGCGTTCAGTTCTATTTTGTTGCACTTTTCGCAGGTTAAAACATTTCAGCCGCAAAATTATGCCAATTGTTTCATGCATGAAAACAATCTCTTCATTTAATTAGGCCGACTATTGAAGCGAAATTGCAAATTGATTGCAATTAAATGTAGACCAATTCAAATTATCTGTGCAAGTCAAATAATTTGATTAATTGATTGGCCTGTCATGTGCAACACGTAGCAACGTACAAATGTGCAAGATACGATTACTATATTGCCCCAAGACCGACAATTGACCGCAAAGTACATGAGTCTCTGGGGATGTCATGACAACGATAACGTCGGTTAGTACGGGAAAACAATGATCTATGCATACCCTGTCTCTTGGCCCTAAAAACAATTGCCAATTCCATGCATATGGAATATGCATAGACATCGTGCTGTAGGCTGTAAGCTGTAGACTGTCGCCAGAGGCAGAGGCAGAGACAGAGGCAGAGGCGGAGGTAGCCAGCATTTGTTGTATTTCCTCATATTTTACAAGTTTGATGAGGCAGGGACCCGGAAAACCCGCTAATAGCTTTCAAGTTCAAGTGCACTCGAGGCACTTGTTGTGCAGTGGCCAGTGGAACCAGCACTCGACACTAAACATGAATTCGTAAAGTGGCCGCAGAGGCAGAAATGATAGCACTGCTGGCCTATGTATCTGGATGCATTGGGATCACGTTTGGCCCCTCGAGATGATACAACCCGAAGAAATTTGAACGAAAGTGAGCTCCCTGGAAAAGTCGGGGAGCTTTCATATTTTTGATGCTTTTGGATGGCACACAACGGAGGGTTTATTAAATTACAACACAGAGTAGAAACAAAGGAAACCACATTGTTCTCGTGGCGGAACGAACGTAACACACATAAGAATGTTATGTACATAGATAGACATGGGCCAGTGGGACGTCCGACCGACAGACGCGGCACAGCTGGTGGCTCTAGGGCCCCTCCATTCGGTTGGCACAATATTTGGCTTTAGAGTAAATAAATATTCTGTGTGGATACTCGTATGAACTCACCGAAATCTTTGGGAAAGTAGAATCCACCTGCCTGGCTATTAATTAATGGGCACAAGAATCGTATTTTGTGAATTGTTTTTCCATGGAAATTTTTGTCGATTTTTATTTCTTGCTTCACCGAATCGAAAATATCTTATTCACTTGGCACACTCACTCTCCAATCTCCAATCTCCGCTCTCCACTCACCACTCTCTACGCACGCTCATCGGCTAGGGGAAATATTATTATTATTGTGAATAAAAAAGAAAACAAAAAACACGCTCATCGGCAAACATTTGCGCTTGCCAGCAGACAGAGGGTATGTGGAATGGGGATTCGAGAGGCGGGAGGCGGGAGGCGGGAGGCGGGAGGCGGGAGATGGGAGACGAGACCGAAGCTTACAAATAATTATTATCAGCGCGAAGGCAGAGTGCCACAACGAAGTACAAGAAACACAAGACCAGACCCACTTGAAATTCCCCAAATGTACTTTCCACAAAAACACAACAAAAATTTGATTTTTGGACGTACAAAAGGGCACTCTTCGTTTACATTCGCATCAGCTTTCGGTCTGGTCGCTTTCACGCAGATACGTATGTACAATGTACTCGTAGTAATTCCTAAACGCTTTCAGCGTAATTAAATGTGTTTCGGAGCTGCTAGCGGTACCGTACCCCGATCTGCTTGACTGATCAACGTCAACGGTGGGGGCCCTCCCTACCCCACAAAAGGTGGGTCTGGAACACACAATCTTTTTCGGTTTTCTTTTTGCACACAACAGATCTTAGAAAAAGCTACAGGAATATATACATATATATGTATTCGTATTTACTACAGCACAACGCACTTGCCTATGGGGCTCTTAAATCAAAAATAAATATCTATTTCTTATGCAGCCCCAAAATAAACGGATCGGTGCGGATCGGATCCCAATGTTTACTTCTTCAGCCACTCGATCTGCACGAAACTCGGGAACATCAACAAAACAAATCAACTCAGACGTGGCGCTGCGCGGGTCTCCGGTCGGAGGAACATTCAGATTTTAGAGTCGGCGAAAGACTGAAACGAGCTAACGGTGGGCTCGGATCGGGTCGGATCGGATCGGGTCGGCCACGAAATATCAACCAAATTCGCCTCAGATGTTCGCTCGCGTCGAACAAACACACGATGACTCTTCGGCAAAGCATAACAGAACGACACGACCCGTTGTACACACACTCGTACGCGTACGAACGTATGACGTGATCGATTCGAAATTGCCGAAACGTGCTCTAAAAAATTCCACTTCATGCACATGGTCATGGGTGCTGGAGTTGGAGTTGGAGTTCGAGTTGAATGCGGTATTGTATAGGGCCCCGAGGGCTATATGTACAGTATGTACATACCATACTGTATGTGTCTCCTCCTATCAGTGGTGCGAATGATACATACATGGTCTGCCTCGCCTCCCTCCCCTCCCTTGCGGTGCCGACTCAGCATGTTTTCCGAGGGGGTTAGTTTTGTACCCTAGCGAGGGCTTCCCAGCATTGAGATATGTACATGGTACAGACATACTGAATAGGAAACAATAAATAACGAAAAAAAAAACAACATTCTAATAGAGTTAAAGGACAAACCAATGTTCTGGGCTATCAAAAAACCATCATTCAAGAGTTTGAAGGAAAGTATCCTAGCACAGCTGTATACAAGGATAATCGCTAATCGATACTCAACTTAAGAAATTTCAGACCGTCGACAGACACTTTGAAAAGTCATTTTTCAAACATGACAAACAGGGTTTTCTGAGCACAACCGAATGCAAACAACAGCCGGCTGTTTTCAGCTCCGAATACACGCATTGTCGAATTGTGTGTAAATATGTCCATTGTGGTCCCTGTTGTTGCCGGGGGATACAATTTTAATCAAGTCGAAGACCACAGCTGGAAGCGCACCCATCGAAAACAAACCGGTTCCTGTGCACTCACGCCCTCCCGCCGTCACGTCAGGTGCAAGCAATGCAAATATTTGGCGCTGCGATCGCCGATAGAAGACAATATTATAGCTGGCAGTCATATTGTGGGGACCTTCGGTAAATTGGGACTTTGCTATCTGGTATTCTGAATATTTTTTATCAACGATAAGAGCCGACTGCGGATATGCACCCCAGCCCATCCGCCCGAGGACCCACAAGCTGGAGGCTAGGCGGAGTGTAACTAGCGGAGAGACCTCGATTCCTTATCAAACAATAATGTTCTCCCCTTCCAATATTGATTTTGTTGTATGTATAAATTCGATAAATATTTAATATTGACAAATATAAACCGTTTGGCTTTCCCCTCGTGGCACTGTCCATAAAGAATTCCCACGAAATCAATTTAAAGCGAACGCTGCACAAAAAATGTCTACTGACTCAAAAATCAAAATTAAACAAAAGTCAAGGCAAATCCAAGTTCGTTGCGACGAACTATGTACACCCTTTCTCTTTGCGAATGTAATATCTCTGGCGCTATAGATTCTGAAAGCCGAATTTTAACATTCGTTTCCCAAAAGATTAATTTATTAATTTGTAAATGCATTTATTGTTAAAACCATTTTCTTCATTTACCATCATGATAGTATGAAAAAGTATAAAACACCATCATGCCAAGGGTATGCAAAACGAAAACGAATTGATAAGAAATTTAATTCACCCTGAAGTTGGTGTTTAATGCACCACCTCCTCCAATATCAGGTTTTTTAAGTTTTTAATGGGGCAATCAAGTCCAGGTAAATAGATTGCGCACACTGCCGCCTAAAAATAGTTTGCGGGCGATCGATATTTAATTTTTATTGTCGTTACTTCAACAGCGCTTAGCACTGGTTAATTTATGAGGCCTCTGCAAATATTTACCATCACGGCGGGCAGCGTGGACTTATCAAATGATTAACGTCCATTTGAAAGCAATTAACATCTAAACACCTAAGCATCTAACATCGTCTGCTGGCACCTCTCGCGCTGTGCGGCCATGCGCTTGGATGGCCGGGAGACTCATGACTCAATGTCTGTTTGGACACGAGAAAAAGAAGCAAGTCGTTGTGCGTGGCCCCGCGTTGCGCATACGCCATGTGTCACAGCGAAAGTCGGATGACTTCTTTACATTTGCCATGGCATAGTAGGCATGGAGTAGCATGGAATGGCATGATGTGGGTGGCTGATACACTTCTAAGAGCATACAGAGAGGAACAAGAATAAACAAAAAGAAAACACACACACACACATGCACCACATCACAGATCAAATAATTTAATTAGCAGTGGCCCCTCAATTGTGCTCGTTTTAATTACATATATTTTATCAGCAGTCAGGGCAGGACAGGGCAGGGCAGGGCAGGCCAACGGCAAGTCAACGGCAAGCCAACAGCAAGTCTTGGCTTGGCCCATGTGTCAATAAGTCAAGTGATGTTAATTAATTGAGGCCGATAGCAAAATGCTCTGCAGCAGTCAGGCTGCCACAAGCAGATTACGGACATTGCAATTAAACTAGGCATTCGCACAATGGTTACACAACTGAACCCTGCTCCTGACTCTACTCTCATTTTAGAAGCGACAGGAAACTATGGCTTTCTCATACGTTTATATCTATACCTATTGTGTGTTCGTTGGCCAGGCACGGCACTCCAGTCGGGCCATTGAGACAAATCACGTGCATATCAATCTCGAGGGTCTTCCTGAGCAGCTTAATATAAGTAGGTTCTATTTCGGTCAGATATGATAGGGAACTTTAACCGGGCAACAGAGATAGTTCGGAATCGGTTCGGCTTTAAATAGACTATTTTCACATTTAGACTGCTTTGCACCCCGCCATGACATAGCTTTATCGCCCAAGAGTCCAAGAGGTACATGCCTAATTAATTTTGAGATAATCAAAACAATTTGGTCTTCTGCACCACCTGCGAGTGGTTGAAGTGGTGCTGTGCTATTCGATAAGCAATGCTGCCAGGACGAACCAGGCTACGCTCTAGGGCATCGCCATACAACTGCACCAGAGATGGCTCCTCCTCCACCGGTTCCAGATAAGCAGAAAGTCCACCGATTAACTGCAAAGAAGAATTGCAGTCGATGAACATTTTAAATTGCGTTTTTCCAAGAACCTACCAGATCTGGGTCGCAGTTGAGAAAGCGCATGACCTGCACATGCTCGGACCAGAGTCGCCGTCGCCACTTGTTGTCGTACTTCTGGGCCAAAGGCAGCAGCACCAGCGAACTGAACAGCTCATCGCCGTAGCTGGCCGCTGCGAAGTGCTCCACAAACAGATAGTAGAGTGGCTCGAATCTGGCCTTATCCACGAACTCGGCATCGAAATCAAAGTGAAGCGTAACATTCTGGGCGTAGAAGTCCTTTAGGTAACCGTGCAGCAACTGATGCAGATCTGGTTCCAAGAACTGCGAGTCGGGACCCATAAAGGCAATCATCAGATACATAAGCTTTTCCAGCGGGGAAACAATCTGCAAGCCTTCCTTCTCCAGTTGCCGCACAAACATAAGGGTCATGCGCACCACTTGCTGTTCTGTAAGAGGAAAAGGATTGATTCGATGTCCTCAAAGAGAGATTAACTTAACGTTTGCTTCACCTGAAAATATTGCCGCTGGCTGCTGCTGTACATTCTGCAAGTAGTTGCCGAGGATAAGACGCATCTGAAAGAATGGCCAATCAGCCGGCAGGATGGGTGCCTGCGTGTAGCACAGCGACAGTGAGGGCTCAGAGTTGTCCTACTTGTCGAAAGGGAATGGTTAGTGAATCAGAAAAAGGTGAAGTAGTTGGCAATCTTACAGCTATCACGTGCGGGTAAATCATTTCCATGCAGGTCTGTTGCAACAGCTTCAAGCACGCCGCGTCCAACTCCACGTACTTCCCATTGAAGATAAAGCGCTCGAATGTGCTCTTGATCTGTGTCGCATGGGCCGTGGAGAGGCAGCACAGATAGTTGTAGACCAGCTGCAGCAACTGCGTGCGATCCAAGTAGGTCTCTAGTCCATCTGTTACGAGCAGCTGATGAACGAACCTCAGCTCGCTCCGTGCAAAGAAGTTGGTGGCCAGGATGCGGTTCAGTCCCGAACTCAATTCCCGCAGATACTCGGCCACTGGCTCCAGCACCGACGGTTGCAAAAGCGCTTCAAACAATGGCCTCTCCCCAGACTCCAGCGACAGGTCGCGCAAAGCCCAGATGCCGCTCAACAGGTGCACCGGATACGTGTCGCTGACAATCAGCTGGGGTCCACAGTCATGCATCAATACTGCGCCCACATTCGGCAACGCTGGATGGATATTGCGCCGATCGACGGGGCGTCGCAGAACAACAGAGCCCTTGCTGGAAAATAGTAATTAAATGGGTGATGAAATAGGTGATGCCCCCCAATCAACTCACCTTAGGTCGCGCACACATGCAACGAGGCTGGGTGAGCGCACAAACTGTGGAAGAACGCTGCGTAGAAATGGCTGAAAGGCCGTCGTTCCCAAATACCCGTGGCGGCAGAACCAAGAAACGACATACAACACAGCACTCAATAGCGTGAGTTGGGTGAACTAAAGAGATGCCAAATGCTATAGGGTATTGGAGAAAGCTATTCGATTTGGGGCGCACTCACATCCTTGATAGAATCAATGCGCGAGGCAGAGTGCATCCAGCTGCAACAGCAGTTGTGTAGTGGCCCTGCCAGCAGCTTCTGCCCATCCACGTCACAGGCTCCGCTCTCGCCGGCGCCCACAATTGCCACGAGAAGGGCCGCTGCGTGCTGTCGTATCAGCACCGATCCGCCCACTCCATCGAAAATACTGTGATTGCAGTGCCAGTCCACCATTTGGCGCAGGGCGGGCAGGAACTGTCTGTAACAACGATTTAAACATAGATGAAGTGCCACTCAATAATAGTAGCTATTAGACACCACACATTCCCCCAGATGGCTATAAAAGAGGGCTTTACTTGAAGAGCAGCCTCAGTCAAGTCTGGAAATTTATATCGACACAATGACCTCCTCCAGGAATGTTTGCCTTTTTCTGGCCGTGCTCATCGCCTACGATTCGCTGGCTCCGAGCCAAGCCGTGAGTATTTCTGTTCAATCAGTTGGTAAACAAGCTCAAGTCCTGCCGAAATAGTTTGAGCTCTCGCCGACGATGAAAAAGCAAGTAGCAAAGCTTAAGGATCGCTGCATTAAACAGACAGGAGCATCCGCAGGTGAGCGTATATCAATTTACAATATTTCAATGACGTAGCTAATAATAATCATCGAGAATTTCAGAACGAATGCTCCAGGCGAAGAAAGACCAGGTATTGCCCGATGATCCGGCCTTCAAATGCTTTCTGCACTGCATGTTTGACATGTTAGGACTGGTGCGTTGACATGTTAGGATGTGACTGGAGAGAAAGATTTAATTAAAGGCGAGAGACTCAAATTCTGTTCTTCTCAGATCGACAGCCACAACGTAATGCAATTGGAGTCTCTGATCGAAGTCTTGCCTGAAGAGATTCACCCCGAGATCAACGATCAACTGCGGCACCCAAAGTATGTATTAGCATATAGGTTTCCTTTCTTGGGAGGGCCTATAGATCCCCATCGTTTGCAGAGGGAATTGATGGCTGCGACACGGCTTTTCTAACCGTCAAGTGCTATCTCAGTGTGAACAAAGATTTCATCACGGAGCAGATAATGAATTCAATGCAATAGAAGTTCTCACACACCTGTAGAGGTCGCGATCCACAATCCCCAGAAGGAGCAAACAGCGCAGGATGCGCAGTGACTCGACCTGAACGCGTACCATTTTTCCCTGAAAAACGAGAGAGAGTCTTAATTATGTATACCAATAACCCAATAAAAGATCTGCTACAAACCCCAACACTGTCGCGTAGAAACAAGTACTCTTTCAGTCGCTCGATCAGAACGCCCTTTGAAAGGCTCTTGGCTATGTCCAAGTGCTGGCAGATCAGTATTCGAATAAGCTTCAGGCAGAGTGGCTGGGGCTGGCCGTAGAACGCGACGCTCGACGACGACCCAGAGGGCAGAAAGTGGGTTAATATAACATCTAAGAGATGGCTTTCGTTTGCCAACTGCCGTGCAACCTTTATACTTGTGCGAGCGATTCGTATGAGCAGCTTCAGACAGGAGTCCACGGTGCTGTTGTCAGGACGCATTGAACTCAAGATGAACCTGTGATTACGCAAAAAGATTATACTTAATTCTTTAAAATTAATCACAAATACTAAGGCTCACGTAATCCGCTGCAATATATTCGTTCGGAGCAGACAATCCATGAGGTCTGCCTCGGCCAGCTGAAAGTCATCCATGGACATGCGACTCTCCGTCTCATCCTCAGCGACATCGGCTCGCACAGAGGGACTGCTGGTCAACAGTTTCATGTAGCGCTGCAAAAAGGCAATGGATGTCGGATCGGAGTCCGAGTCGCTGTAATTGCTCACGACCTGAAGCGTTGGCTGCCAATGGCAGTAGGGATTGTCGTGGATATAGTCGAGCAGCACCTCGTCCGTTTCGTTGTAGAACAAGCAGGCTAATGCCCTGCTTACTACCTCAAGCTGCGCGGCCACATTTTCATCGAGGCCAAAGCGCAGTAGGAAGAACATTTTTGAAACCGGGAGCGTGAGCACCTGGTCATAGAAGCCCTGATTGTAGATGCTGAAGATACCCGCGATGGCACCAAATGCCGATATTCTTTGTTGTAACACAGTCGAGCTGTCAATTAAATGGGAAAATTAGAAAAGCTCTGTGCCCAAGCCACACCGCACCTACCGAGCCAGCCGAAACAGCTCCTGCAGCGTGTACCCCGGCCGTTCAGCTTCCTCGCCGTGCAAATACAGCTCGCGCTCGTCCACTGGAACGGAACGGTCCTGGTCTGGGTTCTTGAGCGTGTGCGGCAGTAGAACACCCTTCCAATCAAAGCGCGCATCGAACTGCTGTCCCGGCTTGAGCTGGCTCATCTTGGCTGGTATATCGCGCATCCAGGCCAGCTTGTGCTCTTCCACAAGATTGAAATTAAGCCATTTGTCTTCGTCACTTTGCAGCAAGAGCGCATGTGCTGGGTTGGAGTCGACCAACGATGAAATCGGCTGTTGAGGCTGTGGCGTGGGCTCGATGGGCTTTGGAGATGGCTCGCTCACAACCAAAGGGCTTTTGATTCCACGATTTTTGGACAGCAATGCAAGCAATGCCGGATCTGTAATTGGGGTTTTGCGAGTCATATTAATAGCTAAATAATAAAACGCAGTGGCCATCAGTTGCCTTACCCAACGTGGCCTGCAATCTTTGACGCTCGGCTAAAATTTCCTCTTCGCTCATTTGACTGAGAAGAGCCATGTTTTCGTCATGTAGTTCCTTTGCCAGTTTCGCATCTCTCACAATGGCACTACGTCCGGTTGGTGCCTTCGAAAATAGTTTCGTTTGCGATTCCTCAACAGTCTTTGCGCCGCCTTCCAAAAGCTGTTTGGCGAAAATGCTGCGAGGCCTGTTGGTGGCTGGCTGTGAGGTGTTCGAAAGTTATTAGATTTGGAAAAACCCGCTTCAGGTTCCGCCTTACCTGATTGGAATGTCGGATTGGGGGACGCTGTGTACCTTCGGCTCTTTCCACTATCTCGCCAAGCACGGCGCCCATCATGCTGGGATTTACTTTGCTGCCTCGCACATCTCCCAGCATGTTCTCATGGATTTCATCGAACAGTACCTTGGTCGAAGGTGACCCCTCACTGCTCGTTGCAGCAGTCACTGCTTTTTTGACGGTCAATTTGGGCTCCTGTGCTCCTTGCTCATTGGTGGAGGATATACGACCTAGCTTCGCCTGCTCTCGCTTCTGTGCAAACATGGACTTCTTTGGAACTACAGAAAACATAATGTAAATTCACATGGCATCAGGCACAAACAAAAAAAGAGAATAATAGTCACTTACTCTTTTCCATACGTACAAACGCCGCTGCTGGCTGAAAACTTGGATTTTTCTGTCGCTCTGCCTGGAAGTCGGCTGCCATGCGGAGAACATCCTCCTCGCTTTCACCCGGCTTAAGTTTTTTAAACATTTTCAATTTCAGACAAACGAAATTTCAAAACAAACGCAGCATCAGGGCTGCACAAGTGGCCGCTGAACAGCTGGCTCAGGGCTGCACCGGAACAGCGAAAAAGTCGAAACAGCTGGTGCAGGGTTGCAGCGAAATGGAGCGGTAAGAGTTCAAGCAATTAATCGAAAACACTGTTATTATTTAAAAATGTACTTTTAATTACCGGCAATTAGCAGGGTGGTAGGTAGAAAAAAATTTAATAATTAATACATATAAATACATATGCAAGTCAATGATTATTTTCCATCTTAATGCTGGGGGAGCAGCCCCTACTTCTTAAAGGTGGTGCCCGTATTCGCCGCACACTTGGTCAGCGAGTGCTGAGCCACCAGAGTGTCCTTGTGGGGCAGCGCAGCTATTTGGAAGAACAGATCGATCCCCTCCTTGAAGAGCTCAATGGCCTCGCCAGTCTTCTGCGCCTGCATCGCCTGGGCCGCTTCCCTGTATAGCTCTTCGATTTTGATCAGCCGGGAGACGCTCTCCTTCAGGGAGATATTCTTGCGACAGCGAGGACAGCGCACATCCTTGGCCAAGTCCTTTGGGAACTTCAACAGATTCACACAGTTGGCCGAAGTGCACCTTTAAGTATCGTAATAAGTATCGTAAACTTTGGAGTTCCGATCCGCAAATATACTTACCAGAAGCGCACCTGCTTGTCCAGCTTCTGGAGCAGCGGCCAGTTCTCCTGGCAGGCCATGCAGCTGCAGCTAAAGGAGTATCTGCCACGAAGAGACCTCTGGCGCTCCTTGAGATTGGTGTACGTGAAGATGGGGCCATAGTTGACGGCGACCACTTCGTTCGGACGATGCGGCTTGGTGGCCGCCAGCACCAGCTTCTTGCCCACAAAATAGCTGGCGACGCTGCAGGGAATGGGAATGGGAAAAGGAGTGCATAAGAGCAGAGTGCGTTCCGGCGGATCCAGCACTCCTCTTACCTTGGCCAGCATTCGTGGTTGAAGTAGGAGCCAGTGCCGTAGAGACCTGCGCCCACATGCACCGTCTTGCTGCCTTCGAACCGATGCTCGTCCGTCACCTGGGTCTGGTAGATCTCGTGCGCGTTGTACTGCAGCACCTGAAGCAGGCCCAGTAGGGCGGTGGCCACCTGCAGCTCAACGGCTGTCGGATTGACGCCCTCGGTTTTGCGCTGGCCAAAGTACTGCGCCTTCTGCAGGATGCGCATCAGGAACCCGGCCATCAGAGAGCGCTGCAGGTAGTCCTCCGCCTGACGCACATCCTCGTGCGAGCACAAGTTCTCAAAGAGCAGATTGGCCGTGGCCAGGCCATCGTCCACGCTGGCGGCCTGTGTGAAGATGCGCAGTGCAATGAAGCAGAGGATGGACATGCCGGAGCCAATGAGCAGATCCATGAACTCGCACTCGAAGCGATGGTAGCTCTCGCAGGCCTCGCCCATGCACTGGGCAGAGCAGAAGGCAATCCCGGAGCAATGTAGACATGCCACGGGAGTGTGCAACCTACGAAGGAAGAGGGAGGTTCCTCAGTCAGTGGCACTGAAGAGCCGACGATCGGAGCACTTACCGCTTGAAGCAGTGGTGACAGTGGGTGCCAAAGAAGCTGGGAATCAGGCAAGCCGCCACAGGATTCTCGCACAGCACCACATCTCCCGTCTTCAGGCACTCGCTGGCCACAACGAAGCGGCCCTTCTCCTTGGTCTCCACGAGCTTCACGACATTGGCGGCGCCGCTCAGTTCCGGGTTTTCCCCGTGGGCCAGCTGCGGCACCTTCTCCGTGGATGGCTCCTTCTGGACAGGCTTTATCCCTGCGATTTCTTTGCGGCATATCGCAATGTGGGTGGTGTCGGAGCCAGCCAGTTTTTCGGCTATCTTCAAGGAGATTTCAGCCCGAGCACTCTCTCCCATTACTGCCAAAGAGGAAGTATGAAAATTTCGCCAAGAGGATACCTTGTTGCCCCACTCACCCGCATAGGCCTTGGCCATCTTGCAGTAGTAGTCGACGCTTCCCTTCAACTCCAGACCGAAATTTGTGGCCAGCTTGAGGTCGCTGAGAGCCGGTTCGCCCTCGCCCAGGCCAATCAGGATGGATGCACGCGATCGGTAGGCCAGGGCAAGGGTGAGTCCATCGTCAATGGTGGGACTCACATTCCGTTGGGGAGCACGCATCACGGCCAGATTGGCGGCCAGCAATGCCTGCTGGAGGAGCTCCCTGCGCTCATCCGCCTCATTCGTGCTGCAGCTCAACAGATAGTACTTGTCCGCCTGGGCTCGCCTTTGGAAGGAGAACAGAGCGTCCTTCAGCTTGTAAACCGGCTGGACGTGCTCCAGTACACCGAGCACCGGATCGCACACCTCGCGATCACTGAATATGGAGAGCACACGGGCCGCGTTCGACTTCAGTTTTCCAAAGTAGTTCTTCAGCCACTTGTCGCCACATGTCTCCCTCACATCGCCACAGAAATCGTTGAAGAACCCCTTCTTCTCCGACTGGACGGTGCGCGTGGAGCATATCTTCTGGTATGTCGGATCGTACTCCATCGTATTTCTCCGTAAATTATGTAAAATGGAATACAATTCAAGTTTCTGTTCGGCGTCGGGTGAAAATTCTACTCATCCGCGTTTCCTGCTCACTTTTTCCGCTGCTGCTGCTGCCTGAGTATTGAAAACAGCTGGCGGACGGTTGGTGGCCCTCCAAAAATAGCCCCCCGATCCGATCGCTCAGTTCGCCGCGTTATAAATACTCGCGACGGATTAAATTGTGAACCAGTGCTAGTCGCATCCGTTAAGTTCTCTCAGCGATTGTTCGAACTTGTTCCAGTTCGTAGATATCATATCCAATTGTTGATCTCAGGATGGATCTGAAATGAGATCTAGGAAGGTGTTCTGAGTCCTCAAGCATTGGGGAATTTTTACCAACTAGAAATACACACACTGAATAATATTAATTTCGTTTTTATTTGTAACTTGAATTGGGCTTATAAATCACATTAAATAATGTATTTAAAAATTAGCTAAACGTACAAAAATATAACAATATGTATATCAGAATAGTTATAGTTATATATGTATATTTCGTAATTTAAATATTATAAGTATACTTTTTCGCCGGGAAAACATTAATTCAAGTATAGCTTCAATGAAATATTGAAATTGTCTCCTGGACTATCATATATTGTATGTGGACTCCACTCCCATACACATACCTAATTGGAAAGACCTTTTCGTAGAGTAACGTAGCGTAGAGTAGAGTAGAGATAGTAGTAATGTGGACAATATTGTATAGTAGTGTTTCAACTTGTACCACCTGTTTATGGATGCATTTGTGTCATTTTCAAAGGAAGATATCGAATGTCGGACTAGAGCAATCCGTAAAGTAAATCCTGTAGAACCGAAAGAAGCGAAACTTGTGTCAAATTATAAAGAAATCATGTGCGTACGTTTTCAGTTTAGTTTATTGTATTTATTTGGATTGAAAAATGTGTGTGTTTTGCGTGATATTCCATGATAAATTTCAGTTTTAAAATGATTGAGATATAGAAGAATGCGATGGTTGGGAAATGAAAAACGTTACTTGATATTTTCACTAAAAGATGGTACAAAAATTCAATTGGCTAATTAGGTGTACGGTACAAATCATACATATAATATACTTTTAAATTCAGAATCATTACATATATATATCATTTCTTTCTAAAATTATAAAAAAAAGAACTTAGGATTGTGGTCGGGGTTTGGGGTTTGGGATTTTGTTTGTGTTCGCATGATATATAAATAAATTAGATTGTGGATGTTGTTTTCATTTGTTTGTTAGCTTTAGTCACAATTAATCTCGTTGGCTTCATTTTCTTTTGCAATACGATCTAAGAGAAAGTGTTACTAAACTTAACAAATAAAATGCTACAAAATGTCAGCCGCGACAGCTCCAAAGCGCATATGTCGGTATCGTTGGTAGGTATATGTATGTTTGTTTATATGTATGTATATATGTATATTATCAACTATACTATTATCATCACATTGTAAACGTTAAGTGTTCCTTATTATTTTGTGTATTGTTTAGTCTAAGCGAAAAACGAGTACATCATAGTTTTAATGTCTTTTGTGTACAAGCCTAGACGCTGCCAAAAAATATCCATTGATTTCATTTGATTTCCCCCGTCACATTCAGCCGACGACCATGCCACTCTGCTATTGCGCTTGCCCCCTACTAAAACCTTATAGACAACATTTTAGGGGCGGACATAGGCCTAGTTTTAGTCCTTTTCTGTTCTCCTTCGTAGCTGGTTTTGTTTTTGGTATGTTTTCTTTTCTTGTCTTCTCTTGTTTTTTGTTTTTTTTTCTGAGGGATTGTTCCGCATAGCCTACGTACAAATTTAAATAAATTAGAGCTTAATAGTTACAACGGCATAGCCTTCGAAATGGGGGAATCGCCTGGGCATATTTTCAACATTCTCTTCTTCACGTATTTATAAATAAATTAGCCATAGTATCACTTATTTATAATATTTTAAGAAAAAAAAAAAACCAATCTAATTCAACTATATATTTAAAGGATACACCTACAGTTCATGGAAGAGGCCGGTTTAAACTTAAGGAAAGCAGCAGATAGTCCATCTCCGGTGGAGAGATGGAGCAGAGAGCGAGTGGCGGCCGCCTTGCCTTACTTAACCCTATCACTACTACTATACAAAACGGAGCACAGTGCCCGTAGCGGTGGCAGCCCGTGACAGCAGCACTATCCGCACTGCAGACGACCGCAGCCACAGCCACAGCCGTAGCCAGTAAGCACCGACAGTTAACCTCATCGAAACGAGATAGGAGGAAAGCACCTCACGACATCTTGATGCCCAGCGCCCGACTCGAGTATTCGTAGACGACATAGCTGATGGAGACGGCTGGCAGGACTTTGAGGAAGTTTGGCGTTATTCCTCGATACAACCCCGTCAGACCCTCCTGCCGCACAATCTTGCGGAACAAGCCGCTCATCGTCTCCTCGCCACTGTGCGCATCGCTGCTCTTCAGGGGAATCAGCGTCTTCCGTTTCTGGTTGGTAATTGTTTCAGCGGCTGCGGACAAGAACAGTTAGGACCACTCGCTGTTAACAAAAAGACAATGGCGCTTACCTTGTGCCTGTAGCCGTGTTCGCACGAGGGCCAGCGGGTACGAGCAGAGCTGTCCCAGCGCGCTCGATGTGCTGCCGCAGGCCAGGAGTACCAGGAAGCTGGGCTGCTCGTTGTTGTCGTGGCTGGCTATGTAGCGTCTCTTCAGAGTCTCGTAGACGGCCAGATCTATGCCAGCATAGGGCAGGATGCCCAGTATGTTGGGCACATAGCCGCGGTAGAAACTGCGCGCACCCTCGTTCTTGTAGATCTTGGCCGCGGCATCGGCTATGCCCGCGTACTGTCCAGTCTTCCGAAGCGCCAGCCGGGTCTTTAATACTTCCATGGGATATATGATGGTCTGAGAAATGCCGCCTGCCGCAGCACCGGCATAGAAGCGCTCCACAATGCTCATCTGCCTGCTGGCGTCCTCGCCACGAATCAGTCGCTTCATTTGCTCGTACGCCGCAAACTTGAGCGCCGTCTCCGGTGCAATCTTGAGGACATTGATGCCATTGCCGCGCCACATGCTCCGCGATCCGCCCTCGTTCAACATGATTTGTGCACACTCTGAGATTCCCATTTTTGTCGTTTGGACCTGCAGGAAGATGCACATTTAGATATCTTGGGTCGAGGCCACGTCTGTGGGGTTGCGAGACTCACCTGAAGGTAGACCTTGATTCTGTCCAGAGGCGCTGTGCACGTTCGCGACACTCCACCGGCAATGCCACCAGCCACAAGGTGTCGCCACCAGAGGCCCGTCTGCATCTCCTTTTGTGTGAAGTCATCAGGTACATTCATATCCTCGCCAATGTCGAGGTACTGCAAGGATCAAAAAGAACATCTTAGGTCACTTCGAAGCCGAATAAGAGAGTCCATATTCAGTACATTTGAAAAAGCTACGATGAATGGAATGACTGTCTAGTCTACTTTAAGAGAGGTTGTGCTGGGTCTCTGGCCCGTACCCGTACCCGTACCCGTGGTGCTTCCTTTTCTTGATACATGATCGCTGGCGATCGCAGCCATTCCTGCCCCCTCCAGTCTGCCTGAAAGTTAGCTCCAGTTTATATTGGTTTTCGCTTCAATCAGAACTAGCATCGACAACAGTACTTTTGCCCCTCCAAGCCACCAGAAGCGAAAGCAGAAACAGAAGCAGTAGCAGAAGCAAAGGCAGTGCCACACAACAACAAGAGAATTACGGAAGCGAGAAGCAAATGCAATACTAGCGGCAACAAAGGTTATATCATTCACATTGGTTTGCATCGGTGGTGCATACATACATATGTACGGGTATGTACGAGTATATTTGTGTATCCCAGTCGTGCCTCCACTATATATACCCAATTTTCGCGATTTCTGCTTTCCCCTAACGTGTGGCTGCCCTGCCCCACTGGTCCGCCCTGCCAATTTGTTGTGTAATTTGTATAAAATGTGCTAAACCAGGGAATGAAATAAGGAACATTTTCTACATGTTTGCATAGCTTTTGGCTTTCTTTTGCGATTCAAAACGAATTATTAGTTGATAAGCTGCTCAAGAAAACAACAAATAAAAGCTGTCTGAGCATGATAACCGCGAAACTGCGAAACCGCAGAACTGAAACCCAATTATCAGGTCTTGTGATTCCGAAAGCTCTCGGACGGGGCGGTACGGTACGGGACAAACAACAAACGGAAACGAATGGAAAAGTCCGATTGATGATTGGCCAGAATGGGGTTCTTGGAAGACGATTCCAGGCCGTCTGCGAGTGTGGGGAGCGGGGCAGTTTTCAAGGTGAAAATCAAAAAAGTCATTTCCCTTTGACCGTGATGGATGATGGCACTGAAGTCAATTATGATATTTAACTAAGCGAACAGAACAGAGTACAATCAAAACAAATCACACACCATGCTTGGATAAAAGACAAACATGCAAATAACAGCCGATCTGTCAGGGTTAAAGTGTATAATATGTGTAGTACATATATTTAACAGAATATCACGGGTAGATTGTTGATCTTTGCTCCGATATATCTGTTGTGTTGTGGTATAAATGAGTGATAGAAGCCAATGAGAATTAACAAAATTGTTGTGGATTGTCATGCCTGTTGGAATTTATTATTTCCGAATTTTTATAGATAATTATTTTATATATACCATACAAACATATGTATGTACATATGTCTAGAGCGAGGCACATGACTGCAAAAAAAGCTTCTTTTCTTTATACAAAATAATCTATTTTTAAAATGCTGCCTCGATTTTGGCTCACATACGTGGAAGTGGAATTGACTGTCAAAGGACTGCTGCAGAGGCGGCCAAATCGGGTTATTAAACGATTCGATTAGTGGAGCTATTCAATGGCTTGGATCGGATCAGACAATGGGCTGTAGGCCTGATCGCTTGACCAACTCCACCAAGGCCAGTCCGATCCAGCGCGATCGATCCCATGGCCAGCGCCAATGCAAGACCAGAAGGTAAACGGTGCCAAGGGAGCCCGCCTTGGACTTGGAATGCCCTCCCCCCATTGGAATGGATGGCGTTGACCGAGCGTTTGGACGTTGACTCAGACTCTGTTCCGGTTATGGAATTTGCCCGACGTTATTTCCATCTCCAAAGTGTTTTTCCCCTCCGCCGAAGGCAGACGGCCGACGGCCAGACGTCCAGACGGAGATGCGGACGTCAGCAGCGAGGGTAAACAACAATGTAAGAGCACGTTCAATCAACAAGTTTATAAAAAGCGAGAAAAGTGTTTACGCATTTGACGTCACCATTTGACGCGGGGGCCGGGCCGGGCCTGACCACACACAGCAGGGCACGGCATATGAGGCATGTGGGCAGGAGGTCAAGGAGGGGCACTGAGTCAGCACCCCACACATACACGCCTGACACACAAACGCACAGAAATACATGCACAAAGTTATGCAGAGAGAGCAAAAGCCATGACGATTTTAGGCGCCTGGCAACAAGCAGACGCGCAGACGCACACACACACACACACACTGAAGCGATAGAAAAAGAGAGAGAAGTGGTGCGGGAGAGCCACGCGCAGCGCAAATCTTAGGCGCGCGCGTGCGTGTGTGTGTGTGTGTGAGTGAAGTATGTCGTCGATCGACGCGATCAAAAGGCAGACATAAACCGGTTTCATATCAAGCGCCGTCGTATTTTGGCGGCTTGTTGCCATGCGCCCCGCATGGTTCATGGTGCAATGTAACTGAAACCCAAATCAAATCCGCGACGCACAACGAATTGTGTAAGGTGCACAGGGTGCAGCACCGTTACAAATGATCTTGAATGGAACGCCAAGTGCTGCCACTCTATGGGGGTACTTCGCGGCAAGTGGGACGCGACGCTCTTTTGAACTTCGCGGGAAAAACCAGCAAAACGATAAGATAAACGCGAAATGAGTCAGCTTCCGTTGCACAAGCAACGGGGGACCACAGCACAGGGCTTTCGAGATGGCGGTGAAGTGGAGTATCATCTGAAGGAGCTAAGTGGTCTATTAGAAACACCTACCCGTCCCATCATGTCACGGAATATGACTACGAAATCCTCCATCATGTCGCCAGCGACTGCCATCTGCTGTATGTTGTGGTAATCGACAGGCAAATTGTAGTGATATGTGCTATTCCGTATCATTTTGTTATTCTGTGTGTGTCACTTCACAACACTGTTTTCGGGGGTTCCTTGAATCCCAAATGCTGCAATGCGTGCTGTAAGCTGTATGCTGTATTACAGTTCCGCTTCACTTCCGCTTTATAGTGTCCGGAATGTGGCTTTCACTGTGAGCAAACTTTCACTCGGAGCAATTCAAAAAAAATATGCAGCTCTCTTATGATTTTCCTCGCCACTCTAGCCGCGCACAGATGAGGAGGCTAGACTTTGCTCGAAGCGTTAGATTAAATTAAGATTGTTCCACAGCTGTCGCGAAAGAGAACAAAGCAGTCTCTCGTTCAGGCTCAATTATATAACTACACTCCAGCTCGGTGGCGTTCGATAGGGGGCCGAGTGTTACAATGCGCGCACAACCTTCACGCGAGCCAAACGAAAAAAGACTGAGAGCACTGCGACGATCGCACCGCCGCCGAAGCTTCACGATTTTTTTGTCGTCGGTGCAGGCGCTCACTCTTGCGGCTCTGTGCTTTTTGCCCTACCTCTCTCTCGCTCTCTGCCTCACTCTGCGGCCGACCATCGCTTTATTAGTGGGTTGCGCGTGTGGGGTTGGGAGCCACCATCCCCCCTCCTCTGATGCTGCCCTCCAGCATTGGGAGGCTTCTCGACAGTTAGAATGTTATTAGAAAACAATGATTGGGAAAACATTTGATTAGTGGATGGCGACAGCCAGACAGTACCCAAAACAAAAAGAAAAGACTCGAAACCCCAAATATCGTAGGGGTAAGTCGCTTCGATTTTTGGGAGGATTTTTGATGTAGTCAACTGAACGGAATTTTGACAATTAGGCCAGAATCCTCTATGAAATATCATATGGGAATAGATCCGAATGGCCCCGCCAGGAATCCCAGTTACATATGTACATCCCTTGTACAATGCACCCTCGACGGCTACGAACAGCAGGTATTTGGAGAGAGCTACTCGTAATAAACAATAGCTCCAGTCAATGGGCAAGACGGTTTGACAGTTATTTGGCAGCTTTTGATTACAGGTTGCGTGACTTTATCGTGAATTTTCGCGTGTGGAACCGGTTTTGGCCGACTTCGGTGAATACCAAGGGTCTGATAGCCGCGTTTATAGCCACATGACAAGCGTGTGACTGGCTGTCTGGCTGGGGGATGACGCTCCATTCGGCTGCTGCGCCATAGGTGATCTTGGGACTTGGACGTGGAACCTTTACAGCCACCATTGTAACACCTGCATACGTCAGGAGCTAGGAGCTTGGATTTGATAAGGCCAATTCCAGAGAGCAGTCCCAAAGGTCCCCGGGAATATTTTGGAGCGTCGTCAACAGAAAACAAATTCTAAATCCGACAAATCCGCAAAACAACATCGATTTACCCTTATCATTGGAAAGCACACGCTTCTATCGTTGGAGATAAGCCGCAATGAGGACTCGAGGAAACCTCCAGACACACCCATTTTTCAAGTGGCGACTGCAGCCCAGCACAGCCCCGCCGCAATGCCTAATACCTTAACTAGTTTCAATGAATTTATGGCCCCTTCCTCAAGGCCACTGCCGTGCCACTATTGGACATTTAACGATCCAATTTCTGGTCCAAATTGGCACTGTCTCAAAGGAAACGATGAACCACAATTTAGGCACGGCATTCGACAGCTTAAATATACAATAGCAGAGCCAATTGCATGACAGGGGCGTGTCGTAAAACGTCCCATTGGAGTCTGTCATGCATCTTACCCCTAACATACAATGAGCTTGCGAATGCAGGGGCCAGGCCAAGTCATAGCACCGCAATCGTTTGTAATTTAACTCTAGGAATATCATATAACAATGAGTCAAGGCTTTGCGGGTCTTTTCAACGGTAATTTCTTCGTAATTTAGAGGCATTGTTTGTAGAAACTTTAGGACTGCCGCTCCGTTACCGAGAAAAGCTTATTTATAGAATACTATACGTACGAGTACACTTCACCGAACGTCGCGGCGATCCGTTTCCAGTTCTGTTTGGTGACTCCCAGAACGTGTGGACGGACAGGTTATCACTAGTTATGGGACCTCTCAGTTTCGAAGCCAGTCAACAGTTTCCAAACTGGACTGGACTGGAGCATCGGCGGACTTTGATTAAAGCAAAAATTCGAGAATTCGCTTAATTCGTAATAATAAATATTGTGTTTGTGCAACTGACGACAGAGAAAACATGTAAAGGTCTTATCAGCGCCGGAATGCGTTCAATCTGGATGCGATTGAGCCATTTGGCCATTTGACCAATCAATCATGGCATGAAAGGCAGCCTAATTACAAAGGCAACTCATTAGGAACCCCACTTTGTGCGCAGGCTACGTTTAAGTAGAGGTTTACTCTCACGTTTGGGCCTGGCTAAAAATTAGAACCTAGCAATCTGCAGTCAGTAGCCGCCTGAGGCACGTCAGAGGCCAAGAACCGGCTACTCAGACAGAATCAGCTTGACAACCAAACGGCCAGCCGGGGCCCCTGGAGGGGCTTCAGCCGGTTGACCTTAAGATTCAGGTCTGGTCTGCCACAATCGCGAAAAATGTCGAAGAGCAATAATCTGAAATTTGAAAGCTGTTTCGCTGGGGAAGATCTGCTTGTTCCTTCTGGGAAGAGCTGCAGAGGCGGCCAGGGGCCAGGCAGGCCAAGTGACTGTCAAATTTGAGTGGAATTGATATCAATTGCTGGAGCTGTCCGCATGTAAACAGAATGATTATGCAGACAACAAAGCAGGCGCTAGCATCGTCACCTGCCCACAACCCGCGCCACACTCGAAAACAATGAAATGTGCCTTTTAACCGACCATAATCATCCCGATAAGCGGGCGGGAAAGAGATCTGTAAGGAACGTAAGCGGGCGGCCCAACCCCGGACGGGCCTCTCATTTAAAACATTATTAAACAGTACGTATTTGATAAGGTAGTTTGTATACCGATTTGAATCAGATGAGATGATGAAATATATACAAAACTCTTGCGTCAGGCCAGAGCGAAAGCTTTTGTCATGCAAGGACCATTACGGAGCCATCGCTCCCGCTCTGGATCTGGATCTGGATATGGATTCATTATTTTCGAATGTAGAATGTGGAATGTATACAATAGTCAGTACATAGTCATGCAGATGAATGTTCTATGGGGACTAGGATGATCTATACCGAATGATAAGCCTTCGCTGGTGGAGAGGATGGATGTGTTGCGTTGTGGTTGTGGCAGTGTATGGGCGTGTGGGCGTATGAGCGTATGGGCACCCTCGAACTACGTGAGGACTACAACAATAGTAATGGTAATCTTAGAATCATAGTTTTGACGATATGTACCTTCAGATCTTCCTCAGTTAGTCAGGAGTTGTAAGTGTGGAGGTACTACAGAGGCAGTTTAGAGCGTATGTACGAGATTATGTGGAGTGTTTGTTTGTTTGTTTTTCGATATGGTAACGCATGGTAACGAAACGAGGGTATAAGAGTGTAAAATTGGACAATTAGTTTAAAATACGAAACGTTAAACAACTACAATGTCTGAGACGGAACCAGCGCCGATGATAGTGAGGGCCTTCCCAGAGACGGAGGCCTCTGGGCAAACCCCCACCGGACGGGACAGGAAAGGATATTAAAATTAAGCGCTACACGTTAAGGCTTGCACTAATAGCTACACTAACTAGGAGGAGATTCGAGCGCGCTCCTGTCCCTGCCAAACTTACAGTAGAGTGCCGCCAGAATTTAATCAGATCGTGTATGTCCGTAGAGGGAGCCAATAGCATAAAGTCGCGCCACTCGTTAAAGCTTATGTTAAGGCTGCCATCTTTGTCCATTCTGCAAACAGGGAGAGAGATACCATCAATATACGGAATACATGCAGAGCATATATAATATGTCGCACCTGGTTAGCAGTTTTCTAGCCTCGTCCACGTCAATGTCCAGGCCCAGGTCCTTGAAAGCAGATATTAGCTCCTCCAAATCCACTTTGCCTGCAATCAACGCCATGCCATGACATCATCCGTGATACACATGTGTATACAGAATAATCTAATAAGCCATCTAACTCACCATCACGGTTTCTATCTAGGTGCGAGAACTGTAGACACAGGTTCTTCTCGTGCTCCCGTACATAGTGCAGGAATTCAGCGAAGCCCACGTTGCCACTTTGGTTCTTGTCCGACTGCTGCATGAATTTCTGGAAGAGTAAGGCAACGTTAGGAACGTGTTAATTACTTAGATAGAAATCAATAGAACAAATGCTTCTTATCGTAAAGGCTTCGTGCCGCGTGGAAACCATACAAATCTCAGCAGTCGCATCGCATCTTGCTTTATCATCTTCCTCAAATCAGGGAATTGTTGCATACATATGTATTTACTCGTAATAATAGTCTGTATAAATTAGATTCGCATACGCTTTTGACAGTACAGCTGTCAAGGACACATATTATTGATCTTTCGCCGTTCTCTATAGAATACCGCAACAAAAGCATTACAATTTGAAAGATTTCCGAGGCCCGGGGCTGGGCACTGTCCCTCACCCATGTGGCCAATTTATGTTAATCCCAGCGACACTTGGCAGACACTGCCGCATGCCGCAGTGGCCCTCCCTGCCACCCCTGCTACCAACCACTCACCTCCGCGTAGACGCTCGACAGGCCAAACTCGTGCAGCGCCGCCGATAGATCGTGTATGTCGACCTTGCCGTCGCCGTCCCGGTCCAACTGATTGAAGATACGCTCGAGTCGCTCCTCGTCCTCGGCTGGTATTTCCGTGGGCATGATGGCCATTGGTATGCCGCTGCCAGAGCTGGAGACAGTATCCGGCGGCGGCACCGACTGGAGGTTGTAGGGCATAGTGGCAAGATGGGCATATTGCAGACTATTGAAGTTGTGGGCCGCACTGTGCTCATAGCTGGTGGCAAGGGTCGATGGCTTCAGTGGCGCGTAGATGGCATGGGCCTGTTGTGCAAAATTGGTCGGCGGATCCGGCGTCAAGTCAATGTCAATTCGATGGCCTGGTTCCGGCTGCGGCTGCTCCTGCTTCTGCTTCTGCTGCTGCTGCTGCTCCAACTGCTGCTTACTTACTTCTAGGGATGCGCTGTTTTCAATTCCAACTTGCTTTCTGACCATTCTCCAGACTCGTGTGTACTTGTTTAGAGTGTTACTTGCTTTGTGGCGGATAACTCGTGTCTCGATCTGCTCTGGGAGTCTCGGGGTCTCGGTGTCTAAGGGCCTGGTATGCTTTTGGTGCTGAAATACGTTGCAAACTATAGCGGGCTCCTCCTACTCCTATGGCTGGCGCATTTTGGTCTTCTCTTGGGGTATGCTAAGTCAAGCTGTGGGTCTGAAAATAAACATTTAAATATATATATATATACATATACATATATAATAAGCAATTAACCTAATGCGAAGGTTTACGTGTGGAAAACCCCACTATAAACTGAAAGGTAAATTTGCATGTGTGAAAAATCGTTTCCCCGTAGATGAAGTCATCCACATTTGGCAGCAGATGGCAGTGCGGACTGTGTTGTGTGTGTGCGTGCTCATTATAACGTTATAATTAAAGCTGGGCTGGCCAGCAGACAGGAGCCGTGCAATCATTGATTTTTTTGAGGAGTCGAGCTAATTTTGAAGGCCAACGCATTTCCGGAAAGCCTTGAAAAATTGGCAGCCTCACGCACATGCACACGCACACAAGCACGCACATGTCCGTCCCACAAGTGAGTGAAGAGAAAGCGGGTTTCAGAGAGAGAAAGAGGGAGCCCACGCAATACTGGAACTTTCTATTACTCCATTTCCCTTGGGAAATTTCCTTCTAGCCTTATTGCATTTTCTCGCACCTTATGCACGCCTTTGGGCAGTTTTTTCGGCTGGGCAATGACTCAAATTTCACTGAATTTTTCGCGAATTGTTGCCAAATTGGCAAATTTTTATTCTGCAGTCGTCGTATTCAAACGCACACACATGCATGTAAACGCACACTCACTCAACTGGATATGGATATGCAGAAGAAAGCGAACCCCAAAGCGAATTCCACGACGACAGGCTCTCTACGTACCGCGATGGTTCACTGCTGCTGGGCCCGCGGATATATAGGAATTTGTGTGGCGATCGTTGCCTTTTTAATTTAAATAAAACGAAAGTGAGTGCTTGGCCAAGAAATTTTAACTCGAAGGCAGGATTTATCGTTAAAATATACCGTCCGACCCTCAGAAATTCATCAAAAAATACCATCTCACTTTAAAAATATACCGTAAATATACTGACGAATTCAAGTTCTATATTCCTCGACTTGTATATTCCGTGGAATATTACTAGCTATATAGCACATTTAGCCATGCCCACATAATTTTATCCCATTAATGAATTTATTTTATACTTGACAGGTTTATTTGAAACTCTTGCTTTTGTTGTATTTAGTCTAAAAAAAGGTTTTTGCGAAGAAGGTCAAACAAATAGAACGTAATAAAACGTAAGAGAAAAATCGTTACTATTACTCAATTTTGATATTCCGTTTAATAATGCTAACTAACTAAAACCATTAGCTCTGCCCATATAATTTTAGGCCATTGATGAATACATTTTCTTCAAGATAGGCTAGTTTTAAGTCCTTGCTTTTATTGAATTTTGACTAAACCAAAGCTTCAACAAAATAGTTCAACAAAAAAATAGTGGCAACGTAAGTGAGTATGGAATGAGCCGTAAGTGTCCATACTCACTTTTGTTGAGCTGAAAAGGTACATTGTGGAAGGAAAATCTCGAAAAAGGTCCAACCAAACTTGAGCGCCAAATAGACATTGTTTGAAAGTGACTGAACGAAAATGATTTCAAGGCAATCCAGTGGAACAAATGGTGCACGGAACTGCCATTTGAGGGAGCGAAAATTCATAAAATCTGCGTATGGAAGTTTCTATACAATTTGTTCTTTGAAAATTAAAGATTAAATTGATCAAATAACGTCGGCTCAATTTTGACCTCAAAAAATACCGAAAAGTATTAAAAATACCGTAAACGGTCACCCTGCTCGAAGGTTTTCTCAATTTAAAATGATTTCCTTAACAACACCGAAACATGGTGTTAAAATTCAAAGTGCTGTTAAGCGCCAAGTGTAAGTATCGATACCCTATAGCTTTGCATGTTAAGTTAACAGCGAGCTCAGATATTCATATTTTTTGAATCGAGGCCAGGGTCATGTTCAGCCGTTTCATTCAATTCCGTCTACGATGGCATGGCCTTTAAACTTAAAAAAAAAGACCAACAAAAGACTCCATTACAGTTGATAACATAATATGTATTTTCTCTCCACTTCTGAATGTTTTGTTGTTTAAGATACACTTATATTTCAGCTAAATAATTTGTTATGGTAGGTCTATATAAAATTGGTCTAAACTGTGGAAATGAACGAGAATAGTTGCACTTTCTGTTTTAAAATTGGAGCATACAAGTGTGTTGGGGGAATTTCTGTTAATTACATTAAATGCGCGCACAACAGCTTCGTTCTCACATCAAGATAACAAAAAAAAAAAAAGAACTCAACGAACGAAAAAATACATTGTGGTTCGGGTACATGGATCGGTTTTAGGGACAATAGCTCTCTAGTTCATTAGCAAGTTCCAGGCATCATCCTCGGCGTTCGCCTTGTCGCCCGCAGGAGCGGCCGGTTTCGATTTCACATTTTTCACATCCAGATTGTCGAAGCCCTCGCTCAGCTTTACCGACGTGTCCTGCAGCTTCATGTTGCGGCGGGCACTCTGTCCACCCGATGGGGCATTCTGGTAGGAGGTCTCCGCGCTCTGGTAGTTGGAGGCCTCGAAGCCGGACCAGTCGGCGTCGTGCGTGAGGCCGGCGGAGGCGGTGCCACTGTTGCTGCTTAGCTGGGTATGATACGAGCTGGAGCTGGTCAGATGCGTCTTGTTATTGGCATTCTCCTGCCAGCCACCCCAGTCGCTGTCGCTCACGCCGCTCTGTTGGCCCAGGCCTCCGGCCAGATTTCCGCCTACCGAGTTCGATCGCTGCTGATAGGCGTTGTCCTCAAAGTTGGGGTCGTTGTAGCCGCTCTGCGGCGACGACATGTTGCTGCCTGCCAAGTTGTTCCAGCCTCTCTTGCCGATGTCTGTGACCTGTGGGAATATAAAAGCATACACTGGTGCTGTAGGACTTTTGGAGGACTAAAATTGGCAAAGGGGTTATTGCAAACTACAGACCTTGAAGGCCACATCTGTAACACCGCTCTGAACGGTTTCTAGCAAAGTGCCTTCTTTCATCTACAACCAAAAGAGGAAGAAAACAAAACGTACAAATAATAAAGACAACAAAGAAACAAAGATATCTATGGGTGATGGGTGGGTGTCCGTCGACTGACGCACCTTCGTTGATGCCAAATTGACAGTGGTAACGGCCTTATCCTTGGCGGTACTGGCCAGCTTTGAGGCGTTCGTGGAGAACAAACTCCAGCCCGACGCCAGTGTGGACAGTGTCGAGTCGATAAGCTCCTGAGATTGCGTTTTTGGCGGAGGCTCACGTGTGAACCCAAACCCGGCATACTTTCCGCCCTGGCTCGGTGGCAAGTTCCTGCAGGATAATTTTAATGAGATTTCGGATAATATTAAATCATCATCTAGAGTACATACTCTGGTCGCGAAGCGTTCTCAACTTGGCGTTTGCTGAAAAACTCCTCCTTCTGATCCCGAAATTCCTGTGTCTGGTATTGCTGATAGCCTGGGGCGTCACCATAGCTGCCGCCTCCGTTCTGATAGCCATCGGAGCCGCCGTAACCTGTTGCGCTGGCATGTGACTGCGAGCTTCTGTTGCCACTATTCCTGCTCTGGCTATTGTTGCTGCCCAGCCGCGTTTCGGCATCTTTTTGGTTCCAGCTTTTACCTTGGGCCAGTGCCGCGATCTTGTCGCGATACAGAGCCGCTGCCTTGGAGTTGTAGCGCTGCGTTATGGGCGCCCGTTCGCTCCAGTCGGCCTGATCCTCCAGGAACTCGCGAGCATTGCGGTTGCCACCCGCCTTCATCTTCTCCAGCTCAATGTCTTTCCATTTGTCCATCGTCACGGAGCGCACGAAGGACAGATGGACGCCCAGGCTGCGATGCTTCCCGGAGCACTCCAGACATATCCAAATTCCGTAGGTGACCGACACCCACTGGGGATTGTGTGTGCCGCACTCGAAGCATTTCTGTGTTCAATAGAAAATATGGCTTATTAAAATAAATATGTACATCTACGTGTTTGTGTCTACAGAAGCATGCATATGGATGTGTACATATGTATGAATGCATATATATGTGAGGCGGAAGTAAATTTCGGATGGAGGACTCACCGAATTATCATCTTGTGGCTTCAGCTCTTGGAGCACTCGTCGCGTCCTGGGACTGGCCATAGCAACAGAACGAACAGCTACCTACGTGCGACTTTTTGTGGCACTGCTTTGTCTTCGCAGCTGATACGAAGATATGAAACTTTTTGCTGACGCTGGCGGTGTGTACTGTCAATATTGGAAACCACGCACTAACTTACGACTCCCCAGCCTCTGTGGACTGTTCAATACCAACAAGTCTCCACGGCCACTTAGTTAAGCACATTTAATGGAGTTGCGAATTTGTTTGTACAAATTCCCAGCTCGAGATTTATAGTATATTGGCAAAAAAAAATTAAGCGTGTCCCACTTGAAAGTTCGAACTTAACCCACTTAACCCCCCTCTATTTAAACAAGTGAACAACTTGAGTTAAGCCGCGGAAAATACAACCACTAACCATACAGTATGGTAGTACCCACTGGTCGACGATGGGTTAATCGTTCTCTGTCCATGATCGGAAATCATATTCCCCGATTTTGATATTCGGTTTAATATTACTAGCTAGCTAAGACTTTCAGCTCTAAACAAATAATTTTATCCGATTGACGAATTACTTTCGTACACGAGTGGCTAATTATAAGAACTCATCTAGGTTGGATTGTTTATAGAATAAGGTTTAAATAAAAAAGGTAATGAAAAATGTACATTTTTTACATGGTAACTACACGGTAACTACACGTTTGGCTACATATCAACTACATATTTATGGAGTGGGGCAATTGTATACCCTATTTACTTTAATTCATGTTAAAATTCTGCTTTCCAAGCTGATTTGAAACATTAATAATGAATTTTTCACAGAATGAACTGTTTTAGACCTATTAATGCATTTGATACATATTCTTGGTCTATGTAAGAAGAAACTGCACCATTTCGTTGAAATAGCTTCAAAACAGAGAATGAGATTCTGCATTCCTTTGAGCTTGAAATGACAAGCAAGTCCTCAATTCTATATCCTTTTTCCAAGGGTATGCTAAATTTTGCTCATTTTGAATAGCTAGAGATAATAATTTGATCGATCAGTTAAATGGCGTTTATTCTTTGTGGTTGTGCAAATCGATCTTGCAGCATCTTTGAAGACTAACAAAGAACACCTATGCGCTAATTCGACTTCCAAACACATACAATATAAGTGATTTTATTCTGCATTAAATATTAAAACGGTTTACATTGACCGCGAGTTTTTACTTTAGTGTGTACGGATATTAAAAAATTTTAATAAACGAAGGCCTTAAGAATTTTCCTTAATACTTTGAATTCTTCAAAATTCCTCTTGTGGCGTCTTTTTAGTTGCTAGAGCTTTATATTATTCAGGAGTTCTCAACAGTTTAACACAATTACCGAAAGACGCAAGCACGGAATCCGAAGTTATAGAGTCCGTAATACTGGTGGGTTGCTTGGGAGATCACCACGGTGAATAACAATAAACGATAAAATAAACGAGTGCCATCTGCCTCAATGATGTGTCGAAGACCCATGTCGGTAGGACCCTTTTGTTTAGTGCAGAAGAGCATGGTAATCTCACTAAAATGGACGACATAGATAGTCTCCATCACTACCTTGACATACCATCCATACGGAACCATTTATGGGGTCGTAAGTTGATGCCGTACAGCAGGTACGTCACGGATAGAAATAATACAGGGCTGCCCTAGAAGGTTTGGTCCTTTTACGGGCTTACGAGCGAAAATTGCAAAACGAGATGCACGCAGCTGGCGAACATAATTGGTAATAGCGTGGTCATGGCTATTAAGGGGCCTGTGAGTTACCATTTATTAGGAAAATTATAGTTTTGTATTTGAAATCAAATATTACTTACTTTTGAGTTCGGTTTCCACTTCTGTGTCTGTGTAGTTCTTACAGTCACAGGTACTGAAGCTGAAGCTTAAGGGTACGACGTGAGTACACCTACAAGTTACCATTTAATAGTTAAATTGTATAAATATTTTAGAATTAAAATCCTTACACTTGAATTTATTTGATAAAAATATGAAATGTGATGTTTCTAAGTCAGTGAACTATAAATATCTGGTTGTGAACAATGAAATATAGTTCAAACTTGTATTGAATTAAAACTGACAGAGTGCCAATCCTAATGTTTTATACATACCTACTATACTGCTTTCAGTAACTATATTGCTAGATGCCTAATAACAGATAACAGCCAAAAGTATAGACAGATGGAAAGAAATATAATTCTTGTTTTTATCCCCGATAATCAAAGTGAATATAGGGGTATATCAGATTTGTGAGGAAAGATGATGTGTGTCACGCCCAGAAGGAAAGCGTTTCCGACCCCATAAAGTGTATATATTATCGATCAGCATCAATAGTCGAACCATTTCTGTCTGTCTATCCATTCGATCCGATGTGCTCAGAGGCTATAAAAGATAGAGACTCCTGTGATTTCGTACTGTTACAAGTGTATTTCAAAGTTTCGCCCTGCCTCCATCCGCCCCCCCACAATGGACTTTTAAAGATACGAGAAGACTAAACAAGCAGAATCATGGAGAATGACTATATCTTCCAGATTGGATCTGGATCAGATTGGATTATTATTAAGGCCAGAATTTGTTGTGGCGCACCATCTTTACATCTTTCCTTATTGATCCGCGAATCATACAAGATACCCAAAAGATCTTTATTGTTCTTTGGTTTTCCAATCGAAAGATGCTGCCTTATATATCACCATAGACATGTTGATCCATTATCGATTTGAGCCACCTGCCTTTCAGCCACCTCCCTTAGAGCCGCCTGCCTTTCAGCCACCTCCCTTTCAGCCACCTCCCTTAGAGCCACCTCCCTTAGAGCCACCTCCCTTTGAGCCACCTTCCTAATGTGACATGTGAGTCATATCGAGAGTCTTTTCTGGCGAAAAGAAAACAATTCGGCTTTCGTCGGACCACAGAATGCAAGAATGTTTCGAATACTGCAGTCGCTTTGATACATGCTTTTAAGTCTACAGTTTTTTTTTTCGTATTTTGGACATTCAATTTATGTTCTTGCAAGCAAGATTTAACTTTTTAAGATTTTTCTACTTGTCTTTAGGACGTCCACGTGTTTCTTCTTGTTAGCATATTTTAAAGCATTGTGAAATATTTTATTGAAGTAGCCGATGATTTTCCTCCTTTTGAATAGGTATTGCCTTTCGCAATCAAATGTTTGATCCTTTGGATTCTTTCTTCATTAAAGTGCTTTCTGAAAGCCATAACTACTTATATTTTGTAACTTTTTTGTAATAATCCGCCCAAGCAACCGATAATTTTCCGAGAATTGCCTGTTAGATCTGTTAGAATTGGGGGAGTAAAAACACTTCTGTCAGAGAGAAGAGATGTAACATCACTTTATATTACAGAAAAGTGGAAAAAATATTGGATAGGGGCCATGTTTTAAAACAATAAAGACTGAGGTACTCAGCAGTGCTATTTATTTCTCCGTCACTGTATAATATAAATAAATAATAAATAAATATAAATGGTTAATGGTGTGTGGGCTCTTCTTAATATAAGCTATATTAAGTATCGATATGGTGTTTGGCTAGTCGATCATTTTTGCATACTTTGCCGCAGATTTTGAATTCTTTGCAGAGAAACAAAATCAAACTCCAAATATAATTGATGGCCAGAAAATTTTCTCAATTTAAATGAATTTTGCTTGTTAGCAGCCAACGTTTTCCCTATCGTAAATATTTAATATATCCTGTGCCAATCTTCAAAGGCCTTTTAAAAACTCATCCAGATTATTCTCAATGAATAATAAGAAATATATTAGGACGATTAGTGGCTGCCACAGAAGCAGAATTATATGCTCTTTTCTTTGGTCTTCAGGCCGATGACGAATTCGAACAAATTGTACAATATCACGCTGATCTGATTCCCATATTGAAGCTATTCATGTGCCGACCGATTGACTCGACCACTACGATGTGTGGTAGATGGTAGATGGTAGATGGGGCGATGCAATGCTATTTCTGCAGCGTCATGCCGAAAAAGTTAATAAAAACAGCGATTTATCACACTCCTAACAGTAATCAATCTCCTACCGTCTGTCGGTGGATTGCAGACAGGGAAATTACTTACATGAGCGACTTCAATCCAAACAGACCGCGGGTGGCCCTACCTACCGCCAGTGTAGGTACCGGGAGAACGGCCCCAATTACGAGCCAAGGCGCCGCCCGAAAGATTTCCCCTCTATTTCTATGTATGGTCGGTCTGGCGGTCTGTCGGCATGACATCCAAAACATATTTCAAATCCTGGATTAGCATATAATTATGCACAATATTTCTGCAATTGGCAGGGCCTCGGACCATCGTTAATTCCTTTTCAATTTCCGAAATCGCGCATTTATTCAAGTCAGGCTCTTTGCTATAATTTGCGTCGCACGCCCATGCGCAGACGACTTGGGGGCGGGCCAAGTTGGGGCATACACACACACAACACACAACACACATGTAGGTATTGGATAATTGGAGGATGTGTTGAATTGAAAAGCCTGCCGGGTAATCCGATCGATCCAGCACACACTCCCCAGATGTTGGGTTCCAGCGTTCCACGGCTCCAGGTTGCCAGTTCCAGGTTCCAGGTTCCTCCTTTTGAGTTATGGAGCATGCCCGCTAAGTGAGCCGGGCGGGCACGGCTGCGCACTCGCTCAACGCTTTCAACAACTACTGAGACCCAAGGTTCCTGTGGTCCTGCTGCCGTTGGTGGTCTTATCAGGAGCCGAAGTGCACTCCCAACTGCCAGAAATGGCATTGCTGCGCATCCATTATCGGCTCTGTCACTGCTCTGGCCCGAGCTCCGCCCCGCCCCAGACAGTCGACCAGCGCCACTGGGCATTTTGCACTTTTGCTCAGCGGCCGGGATCGGTATGCCCTGAGTTATTGTGTGGATACGATCAAATTATAGGCCTGGGCTTGCATTAAACTCGCATAGAAGTCGATGGTTCTTGCTCTTCGTTGGTCGCTGGTCGCTGGTCGCTCGTCGCTGCTGAATGGTGGATGGTGGATGGGTCGATCTCCGACTACAGAGGATGCACACTTCATCATCGTTTGGGCAGAGCATCCGGTCAGGATAGTCAGTCGGTGTCGGTGTCGGTGGACGCGGACCCTTTCCACTCTGTTCCTAAACATGTCAACACGTGCAAAACAATGCTCGATTCTCATTTTCGTGCAAATGAATTTGAATTTATGCAAATGAGCGGCTGCTGCCAGTTCGCCGCGGCTTCGATATGTTCGCACGCCGCAGCCACAAAGTCTGCCCAGGCAGGCTCGGGATCGGGATCGGGATGGGGATTTGCGTCTCCGTCTCCGAATGAGAGACGCATGCGAATAAAATAAAAATCGCTGGAAATTGCACCAATTAAGTGGAAATGTATTCGGCCGGAGCTGGAGCTGGAGGGAGCAGATTGCTCTGCATTTATCAGCGATATTAAAGCGTTAAGTGAATTACTTATTCCCGTCGCCGCAGCAATGCGTTACCTTTCATGTCCTCCTCGGAGCTGGGTGTCGGTGTCACCGCTGCTGCCGGTCGATGTCGATGGCCGCGATCTTGCATGCGACAATTATATGCTGCGCGGTCCGACGCCAGCCTGGCTCCCGCTCTTGCACCCAGTGCCAGTGGACCAGGACCAGAGGAGGAAGGCGGCATCTATCACAGCAGTGAGGAGGCGGAGGTAGAGAGGGGCTCGGTCGGCTCTGGTCCTATGCCATGTAGTGATCGCTACTGAAGACGCTTTTGCCATTCCGTTGCCGCTGGTCGGTCGCTGATCGATTCAAGCCCAATCGATCCGCAGCATCATGCAACCGCGCACAGCTCTGGGCCAAGAAGTCCCAGTTCCAGTCCCAGTCTCAGTCTCAGGGAAGAGACACAAGGCGAAACAGAGGCAGAGGCAGAAGCAGAGGTTGAGGTCTCTCCTTAGCTTAACAAATCGTGCCAAATAACACAACATAATGACAACAAAGCAGACGACAGGGATAGCAACGACTGCGACTGCGACTGCAAAGACGTTGGTTGTCCACTTGGCTGCCTTTGGCCCTGTCTCTGGATCTGGCTCTGGCACTGGCTCTGGCTCTGGGATTGGTATTGGTCCCAAGACTGCGACTGCGACTGCTTCTGTCGGTGATTGCCATTTCAAGATTTTGCCACTCACACACTCACAGCTCCACAGTGTGGGGATGGCGAAAATTAAGAGATATTTATAATAAGCACGAAAACCACTTAATACTAACGCCTTTGGCAATTAACAGGTACAGCTCCGCTCCGGCAAGGATGCTGCTAGGCCTCTCTCTCTTTCTCTCTCTCCTTCGATGATGTGCAGCCCCAGCCCCAGCCCCAGCCCCAGCCCCAGCCCCAGCCCCAGCCCCAGCCCCAGCCCAGTCCCCATTCAACGACTTTCGATTTGCATTCTTATAAAGTATTTACACTCAAAATTAAACATGTTCTTACTAAATATGTGCAATATATAAACAAAGGAAGCTAAAGAAGAAGGAAATTCGTATTCTTTATTGAATTTTTACACATTTTGCACAGGAAATCAAGAAAGCTAAGTTCGTACTGGACCTAAACTACAATTTTGTACTTTTGTAATGCATCTTTAAAAGAAAACAAAAACGTTCTTCTAACAAATACGTACTTGTGTTTGACCTATCGTCTTTATAACAGCCATTTGATATAGTAATCCGATCTGCACGGCTTCGATTCAAGTAAAAAGAAGGGTCTGCGCAAAAACCAGATAGTCTTTTGGGCTGAGAAACTACTTTGCAGAGAATCAGGCATATGTATAAGACAATATGAATGGAAAAGGGAATGGAGTTGATGGGAATCAAAAAAGTATAATTTATATTTCCTATAGTGGAAAATCATTAAATCGTTTAACCCAATTGTTAATTTTCAGAGTTCTAATAGTATCGCCGACGACTCTCAGGAGGATGCTCGTCTATTCAAAACCGAGATCAGAAGCTGCACAAAGCGCCAGAGCTGCTTTTGCCACAAAAGCAATCCAAGTGAAAGCCACTCCATGCGGCCACTGACGGGCGGGCTCCCTCCTCGATGCCGTGGCTGTGGATGGGGGCTCCCTCCACGTATAGAGTACAATGTACACTGTTTCGACGACTCATCAAAAGCCCCAGGTATGGGGTTTTAATTGTTTTGCATTCTCTTGGCAGGCAGGCAGGCGGGCGGGCAGGCAGGCTGGCGTATTTCTTTCATCATCACGCATCGAAATCGACGCTGGAGTTGACGCCTTCGGTGGCTCATTACAATCAATAATGGTGGCTGGCGCAGGGTTCGTTCGATTGATTCTTTCAGCTTCCCTTCAGTATTGAGAGTCGATCGATCGGACAGCGAGTGTGGATATTGTGTGGTGGTGGTGGTGGTGGTGTTGCTGCTGCTGCTTTTGCTGGGGATCGGGATCGAACACTGTTAAGCGAACGATTATAGAAGTGGTTTTCTGATTTGACAGGCGTTAAATTAAAATTTAATTCGGCCATCTATATAATTATAGTGATCCATCCGAGCATACACATTGACGACAAAAACGAGGACGGCGACGACTTCTCAGCGCATGTAATTAAAGCCACATTAATCACCCGGCTCCGGCTCCGGCTCCAGGCCCAGCTCCAGCTCCAGCCTCAGATGAAGCCTCAGATGGGTCGGTCAGTCGGTCGGTTGGTCGGTCAGTCGCTCGCTCGCTTCGAAGAAGATGCCAGGTACTCGAGTTTGAGCTGGAGCCTGTGCCTCTGTTCCTCTGTGCCTGTGCCACTGTCTTGGTGTCTGTCTCGATGCCTCTGCTCTGCTCAATGCTTTTGGTAGCCACAAAATTGTCAGATTTGTCCACTTGAGTTATTTTCGAATGCGCGTTGTGCCCCCGGGCTCCCCTCTGACTCTCTCTCTCTCCCTCTCTCTCTGATCTCCTCTCCCTTCAGTGACGAAGGGTGTCATCTTCTGAATTCCCAACCAATTATACGAAACTCGTGAGAATTTATCGCACGCATGTCATCGTATTGTATAGATTCGGTTCGGTTTTATTTGTACTCAGCACGCGGTTAGAGATACTCGTAAAAACTGAATAAATTAAGTAAAAAAATTGAAAAAAAAAAAATAAAATTGCACTAAATATTCTCCATTGAAAGCGATAGGAAACGGACACTGCCTGACAGAGCCCTGCCTCCTATGGCCCCAATAGATCATCACTCTGTAGGATGGGTAAATATGTATGTGTAGTAGTAGTAGCTCTATGCCGTCTCCTCTGCGCCTCCCTCTGCGTCGTGCTCCACGTTGATCTCCTCCTCCTGCTCCTCTGTATCCAGATCCAGGCCAATCGGATTCATCTGCGGCGTGGCCATGTACTTGGCTATGTACTGGCGAGCAAAGTTGAGAGCGAAGGCCGCCGCCGAGGCCTGGGGAATGGGCATCGGCATGTGCATCGACATCGACATGGGCATGTGTATGGGCATGGGCATGGGCATGGGCATGGGCATGGGGATTGGCATGGGCAGGGTACGGAACGCACTGTTCTCACCGCCCATTGATAATGGAGCTGATGCTGTGGGTGAGGCAGGAGGTGCCGGTGCCGCTTCCCGCGTTGCTTCCACCTCGAGGACGAAGTTGTTGTTGTTGATGTTGCTGTTGTTGTGGGAACTGCTGCTGTTGCTGCAGGTTGTGGAGGTGGTGGTGGTGTTGCTGCTGCTGCTGCTGCTGATGTGGCTGGTGTTGTAGAGATGGCGATGGCCCGGATACGCGTGATGCTCCAGCGGCTTCTGAGGACCAGGCTCGGGCGTCGATGCAACTGGAGGTGGACCTCCAGCAGGCGTTGACGTTGGCGTTGGCGATGTTGAGGTCGATGTCGAGTCGCGCTGCTTGAGCAAGTTGACCCGTTGGTGGCGCCGCCATTTCGCTCGTCTGTTGGAAAACCAAACCTAATTGATCAATCGACGGAGAGACAATTTGTTAGTTGATAAAGAAAGAGTGGGGGCTGTGTCTGTGTGTTCGCTTCTGAATCGATGTGGTTAGTAGGCAATGACGGTACATATATTTCAGAGGCCACAAACCGAAACCGAAACGGATACGGATACGGAGACCGAATCCGAATCCGTATCCGAATCAGAGGCCGACTCGCACTCACCTGCACCCGCGCCTCGCTCAGCGCGGTCCTGCCAGCCAGCTTTTCGCGGGTGCTCACGCACGGATAGTGCGACTTTTCGAACTCCTTCTCCAGTTCGTCCAGCTGCTCCGGGCTGAAGGTTGTGCGGTTGCGGCGGAACTTGGGCTGATCGCTGTCCTGCGACTCGCTGTCCTCTCCCTCAATATCTGCCGAGGGGAGTGGGTTCTTTTAGCAGGGACTCAACAGCCCGTATCACACTATTACCACTCACCGATCACACGGTTGGCGTCTGTATCCACGTCTGCATCCGCCTCCGGGGAGCGGCTGCTCCTGCTCTCCCTGCTACCCGATTCCGGCGAGAGGGCCGGCAAGGAGAGCCGTCCACTGCCGGCACTGCTCTCCCCACAGGCACTCCCGTTGGTGGTGTTGTTGCTATTGGTGGTGTGGGAGTTGGCATTGGAGCTGGCATTGCCGTCGCTGCCGTAGCTAGTGCTGCCGGGAAGGGCTCCGCCGGCGGGCAGGGGCACAGCACCCCAGAGCGGATGGTGGCCGGGCCACGTGGGAAAGCTCGTGTAGGGATGTGGGTGCGTGGGATGCAGGGCATAGCCGTAGCTGGCGGCTCGGGCGAACTCCGCCGCGGCCCGCTCGGCGGCGCGGTTGCGCAGAATGCGATTGATGCTGCTCACCGACGGGGCGGTGGCATTCGTGCAGACACCTGTGGGAGAGGAGGATGAGAGCATTATGTGGACTGCACACCGGATGCTGTACGTCATGACCCGCTCATGACCCCGAACAAATGAGCCCAAGATTGACTGTAATGAGAGGGCCATTCGCGATTCGAATCTGCCTCTGATCCGAGGTCCAGCTCCAGCTCCAGCTCCAGCGCCAGTGCCAGTGCCAGCGCCAGTTCCGCCTGTGTGTTCGTGCGTCTCATGTGAGAGATGGCTATCGGAACGATTCATTGCCCCGAGCGATTTGAACTGACTGCCTATGTCCACTGCCCACAGGCGACTGTCAACTGCCGTCAACTGGTTGCTGGCTCTGCTGCTTTGCTGCTTTGCTGGTTAGTGGCTTCTGGTGGCTGGTTGGTTAGTGGACTCCCTGGCTACCATTCTGATTATCGTTCCCTTGCAGACGGACCGGACTGGACCCCGAAATGAGTGACACAAATGTGAGCACATTTACATATCAATCGGCATCGATGGGGCTCCCGGCAGCACAGACTCCACTCCCGTCTTCGGAACGGATCGGAACGGAACGGATGTTCATAAATTAGCCAATCGATAAATCTAAATCTACGCCACTGAAACAGTATATTCTTACAACATTAAATGAGCCTCGCTCGGGACTGGACTTGAAACGGGGGCTATCCGATCGCGGATAAATCGCAAAGCATTCGCATTACGAGCACCATAAACACATCAATCCAGACCGATGGCCCGATCGATGCCTGATGGCTGATCTTCTGCTGCTGCGGCTGCGGCTGCTGCTGCTATTCCAACTGCTTCTGGTTCTGTCAGTCTCCCCATCTCTGCTGAAGAAGCGCGTAAACCTGCACTGCCCGCCCAAAGCCACAGCCAAAGCCACAGCAAGAACCAGAGCCATAGCCAGAGACAAACCCAAAGCCAAAGCCAAAGCCAGATCCACATTCAGACCAGGACGCACACAACACAAGACGACGACGACGACGACGACGACTACTCTTGTCGCGACCGTTGTCATTTGTTGTGCAATTTCGCTTTCGGGGGTTCCCTGTCAGTTAATTAGCTCAGCTACTCTCATTGTGTCCCGCCCTGGGAGCAGGAAGCAGGGAGCAGAGGGCAGGGCGCAGGGCGCAGGGCGCAGGTGGCAGGGGGAAGGACTCCCGATCATCTGGCCCTATTGTTCCGCATCCGAATCTGACTTACCTTCGCTGATCAGTCTCTCGCGTATTTCCCACGCGAAAATCGTTGGATTCTCGCGCTTGTACTGCTCGATCTTGGAGACAACCGTTGGGGTGGCCACCTTGGGCTTGGAGCCGCCGATGAGGCCGGGTGGTCGCAGGGTGCCTGAAAAGATAGAGATTATATGCCATATTATAAGAGTGTGTCCGATCTCCGACAAACCTCCAACCTCCGACCTCCGACCTCCACTGGGGTTGTATAACCCCATTCTAATCATTTTCTCTCGCCCGAAATAACGCTAGGGGCATTAGCGCATTGTGCGACTCGCATAATTTTCACATTGTTCAGCAGCTCTCTTCCCGTGTGGGCGTTTCGAGTCGAGCGGGTCAAAAGCCCTCCGGCAGCATTGCATTGTGTGCCACTATGGGTTCGAGCTACCTGTTTGCCCTGCCCTGCCCCGCCCTGCCCTGCCCCACTGCCACTAACTAACTAGACAATTAAGCCGGGGAGCGGGACGGGACGGGACGGGCCCGGACCGGGAGCCGCCAGCCGCCAGCCATTATCATTCAACAGAGCGCTAATTTGAATATTTGACAAACATCAGCGCCACAAGCTCTCAGACTCTCGGAATCGGAATCGGACTCCAACTCAGAGTCAGAGTCAGATTCAGATTCAGACTCGGATTCAGTCACAGCCTCGTCGCAGCTCAAATGATAATTCGTCGGAAGCGGTTGACAGGCGCGCGCGTTTATCTTGTAAATTGAGCAGCGAAACTACACCCGGAGAAAACTCTTCTAGACAGACTCCATAGATCAATGGGTTCGCTGAGAGGGGGGCTGCGGTGCTGGAAGGGGAACAAGGGGAACCAGTATTTCCATTCGAAAAACTCATGTGGCTAGAGCAACAACTGGTTTCCGTTGCTTTCTTTCAGTGTAGGCACAAGTACATGGCTTATTGCACAAAACGGAAATTATTTGCACAATTTGAATTGGCCAAAATGGAAGTGACTCGCACCCGCAAATTTACATACATATCTACCTATGTACATATGTATGTATGTGTGTATAGATTGGACGGTGCGATTTGAGGCCACGCTAATGAATATTTGTGAATGGGCCGCCGATTCATTCATCACACCACGTTGTGGCACAGTCAATGGTAGTGGATGATAATGCCCCTGTCAGGTTAGAATCTCAGATGGAATTTCGCTATTTCAGGGATTATTAATTCGCTAAATAATAGTTTTATGGATTGTATAGCATATCGAACCTTCAGAGCCCATGCCTATTTTGGGATCTCCAGCTAACTTTATGTATCAGAGGGCTGCCTTCTAGTAAAGCACCAATAAAATAACCTTGAAAATGGTTTAATTGTTCTTAAAAATATTCTCCAGGAATATGAAAATCCATTTTCACAGTATTTTTGCCACTTAGAGGGAAGAATCACTAAAACAAGGCTTCATCGGCCAAATGGTTGATCATTTTTTGTATAGCTGGGAACAAAAAGATGAGATTAGTGAGAGGATCCCTTGATTCGATATCTTGCTGATGGGCGCAGGGGTTTGAACTGGATGAAGGAATGATGATGAGCACTCCTATGGGCTGACAAATACTTTTATAATAAGAAATGGGAGTATATTCTTTCGATAGTCTTTCGATAGACTTCCTGATAGACTTATGGCATTATCATCTAATATTTCGGGGCTATATCGGCGACCTACTACAAAAGAAGAACGAAATTCGCTTCTATTTGTATCCTTCTGTGATCAGTTTTGTCGAATAGCTTGTCTAAGATTCTGAGTCATTATAAATTTTAGAAAATCTTCATAGCACATAAATCTGTAATATCTGCAGCAGTTTTCCTAATTGATCTATCTTCATGTTGGTTCGGAATCTGCATTTAGAGAACCTCAAGTTCATTTATCGAGATATCAAGTTCCCCCTTGAGAGGCATGGGCTCTGTTAATTTGAGGGTTTTCGAAAATATATGTATGAGCCATTTGGAGTGCACAACTCGGTGGCAAATTGAAAATGACATGGTCAAGTGTCGCACTCTCAGGTGGCAACAGGTGTGCGGCTGCTGAAGACTCGGGGCCCTAGTTCTGATTGTGGATATCGATAGAGTAGAGTAGAGGGTGGGGTGGGGTGGGGTGGGAGTCGAGTGTGGTGTGCTGTGTGGTGTGGTGCTGTGTGGTGTAGTGGTGGTGGTCTGCCCCTGGCCAGGTGCAACTGGGGGTAAGGCGATGGCCAATCGATTTGTCGTGTATACGTGACCCCAACAACGGAGCCCAAGCAAATCGATTGGAACGCTTGGGGCGCTAATGCGGCGGGACACATGGCAATTGCATTTGGGGCGCGTGTTTTGTGGTTCCGCCAAATCGGTTATGCCAAATCGGACCCGGATGACTCCGTTGATTGCATTGGCTAGGCCTTGCCATCCCATCCCCTTTGCCCCTTGCTTACCTAGCAGCTTGGAGACGGCTCCTTGCTGGGAGAGCATGTGCTGGGCCAGGTCGTATCCGCGCAGTCCGAAGCGGGACAATTCAAGCAGGCGATGCTGGGAGGCCAAGGCATTGAGATTGGTGGCGGTGGCCGTCGCCGTCGCCGTCGCCGTCGCAGGTGCGTTTCCGTTTCCTCCGCAGAAGAGTCCGCCCATCGTGGGAGCGGGTGGTGTTCCTTGGGCCATCATTGGCGCGGATGGGCTGAGGCTGTGCGGCTGTGTGAGGGCTGCAATTGGAAGGAAACCAAAAGAAATAAGTACGGAAAGGGATATACTCGAAGAGATCGAACAGAGAGAGAGAGAGAGAGAGCGAGAAGGGGGGAGGTCGAAAATCATTAAATGTCAATTGGAATTTAAACGAAGCTGTTGCCGGCATTCCGCGCGTGACACAGAAACACCAAGAAATTTGTAGCGCGATCAACGAGCGACAGTCGAGAGGCCTGAAGCCTGTAGCCTGTAGCCTGAAGGCTGTGATGTGGTATCGGGCGATGAGACAATGAGATGGTTGGACAAATTTCGGCTTGCTGGGTTGATCGACGACGTCAAAGCCAAAGCCAAGGTTCGACTCAAAGTCAGAGCTGGAGCTGTAGCTGGAGCTGGAGCTGGAGAGATGGTCACCGCGGACAGCCGGACGCTGGCGGAAGTGTCAGCGTTTATGGGCATAATGGACGCGGTGTGGTCCATTAGTGGACCGGCTGCTGCTCATGCTGCTGCTGCTGCTGCTGCTACTGATGCCACTGCAGCGGAATCAGTGGCAGAATCGACATCGACGGCCACTGCCGATTGCAGTCGGAATTTATGGAATTCCTGACGTTCTGCAGACGCTGGCAATTTGTTGCCGGTCGGTCCTCTTGGATTGGACCCGGATCGGGGATCGGATCGCCTGTCACTGTGCTGCCAGCAATTGGCCATTCCTCAGATGTAGAAGCTTTTATGTTCGTTTTGACATTTTATCTGATCGCGAGAACTGCACACATTTTAACACCTCTTTTTTGGAGCGATCCACCTCCCTGTGTGGCCACAGAGAGTCGCCAGTCGTCAGTTGCTGCAGTTGCTGCAGTTGCAAGTTCCAGCCGTGGCAAGTTCCAGCCGCCTGGTATGCTCTTTCTTCGACCGATTGGGCCGCTCCGATCTGGCAATGGCAGTGCTCCTGCACTAATTAAGCCCATGCAGATGCGGCGACCCCACTTGCTCGTACGCTTAGTTCCAGCCGCCAGTTTCTACGGGGGACAATTTGTTGCATTCGCATGTTGCACCAATTGTTGTGGTTGCGGCTATGGCTTTGGCTATGCTTGATTTATGCCGCGCTCCAGAAGCAGCAGCAGCAGCAGCTGGATGTCAACGAGACCAGGTCCGACTGGGACTGGGACTGGGAGCAGGATCGACCGATGATTTACTACGTTAGTGGCAATGCGACAGCTCCGACTGCCCCGACGCGCCTCAGTCAATTGCAAAAGCGGCTTAAAATCGCGGGAACTGCCGTCCTCGTCCTCGTCCTCCCGTGCAGAATCTCCCCCCGGAGACGCTCCAGATGTTGCCACCGCACGACGCACTGGCACGTCACCGTGCGACTTATAACAAGAAGCGATGCCGATGCCGATGCCGATGCCAATGCCGTTCGGGATCGGGTTCGGAAACGGGCATCGTGCATCGGGAACGAATCGCGCTCCCCACAAGTGATGATCGCCTCGGAATTCAATTGATAGTTTGATTTATTGCTACCGGTAGGTTTTTGCGCAGCTCCCTCCCGGCACTGCATATAAATTAAAGTGGTGGCTCGCTTTTTTTATGCGTGGCTCCCATCTCCATCTCCATCCAAGTGCATGCCCCCCAGGCCCCAGGCCCCATCCTCCTGCTCATCGCCGGGCCCCGCGCCTCGCCTGGTGCTCGCTGATCTTGTTTGTCGCGCGCAGCGCATTACTCGTCGTCTAAGGCTTCTGGTTTTTATTGCCGATCCGATCTATGCGCTCTATGGCGATCTTAGAGCATTTCCCTACGCTGAATGGAATCTGCTGCGGAATATGGCACCTCGAACTTGGTATAATTCTTTTCCCTATAAAATCGTATACCAAATAAATGGTTATCGTGCCTTTGGGCCTTTAGGTTGATATTTTTCTGAGTAGATCGGGAAAATAATATCATGGACCGGTTTGAAGGAATGGAAATCGAAATAGGTAAAGCTCGAACTTACTCTAGTTCATTTAAATATAAGATCCTTTACGAAATGGGGGTTAATCATACCTAATAATATTATATCTTGTAAATAATATATTTCTAAAGGAATGAATGTCGCTCTCTCTATTATATAAACAAGTTTTGGGTCGTTCGTCCTTGTCTTCATCCGATATTTTACTCATAAAGGCGCGAGCGAGCGAAGCGAGTGAGTCGGGGGTAGGCGCACGAGCGAAATGAGTGTGCAGAAGACCCACTGGTCTGATATAAAAAAAGATGCTAGCTATCGACAACCATGATCATTTCTCGATAGGCCATACGATTGTCAATCTGTGATAAACTGAGGAAAGTCGTACATCATCAGTACAGTTTTCGACATGTGTTTTCGACATGTGCCTGTCTGAAGGATAATTGAACATCTATTCCATGTTCTATCGCTCTGATATAGATGCAGATGGATCTATATACCCCCAACGTTTTAGTTGGAGCACAACATAACGTAACATAACGATCCCGGGGGACATACATATGACTGCACTCTCCACTCAATTTCTGAGGTGACTCCTCCGGGGCACTCTCCTCCACTCTTCGAAAATCATCGTGCACACCTTTTATACGCTTGGCTTTCTAAGAATAATGCGAATACACGCACCACGTAACCTGAGAGCCCTAAGTATGGTTTCTGCCCTATGCTTAAACTTCAATGTATGCCATGTACCCATGTACCCATGTACCCGTCCATGCACCGATGCCCCCTCCCTGTCCCTGTCCCTGGGCTCCGGCTGCTACGTTGGTGCCTCCGTTGTGTGTGTGTGTGTGTGTGTGCGTCCCATGCTGCTTTGCCACTCTCTCCCTCTCTGCCTTTCTCTGTGTCTCGCTGCCCCCGTTCCTGAGCTCTTTTATAATTATTTATTTATTGTGCAACTTCCAACACCTTCTAGAGACAAGTCAAAGCTTTGGCCCGCTGCTCGCACCATGCCCCCCCCCCCCACCCCGTCCCCGCCGGCGACCGTCTCATCCCGGTCTGCGGACTGTGAGTGGCCCCTCGATGGCCGCCGCGACATGAACTAATTTTATTTGACAACCCATACTTGTGCAAAGCAAATTGCCACTGATGTGCGAAAGACCAAAACAGTTGCCAGTTGTGTCTCCTGTCCGTTGAGTATGTTTATATATGTATATATCTTGTATATATGTATATACTCGAACTTATTGTGGCTGCCGCTGCGATGCTGTTGTGAAATTTCCAAATCATTGCACTTTCCAGCAGGCATTTGCCTAGTGGCTGAAGCTGTGGCTGTGGCTGTGGCTGGGGCTGGGGCTGCTCTTTGTCTTAAACTGTTTCTGTTTCTGTTTGCTGGGGCCCCCGTATCCCTGTCACTTCACGGAATTTCACCCAAATTCACAGTGCCATGGAGCGTGCAACGCGGAGGAGAGGGGACTCTGAAGGGGTGCACGATCCCCAACACCATCTAACCACCTCACCACCTTACCACTCACCTGTGGGCGCGGCTGTGGGCGAAACGGGCGTCATTGCCGACGGCTGGCCACCGCTTCCGGGCAGAAGATGGACGTGCGACGGCATTGGGACCGCTGTCATGGCTAGGGAGACACCGGGTGCCGCACTGGCCGTCGGCATAATGGCTCCCGGAGATTCCGGGCCTCTGGGCGGCACGGCTGGGGCTGTGATGGCGGTGCAAGTGGCAACCGCAGTGGCACCTTTTGTGGGAGTCCTCGTTGGGACTGGAGTTGTGCTGGTCACTGTTGTAGCCATTCCCCGCGTCAGAACTGTATGGTCGAGGGGGAAGAGCTGTCTGGAAGGCTGGCCGTCGTCTACCTACACGTCAGGCAGCAGCAGGTGGCATCTCCAGTCGGGAAGCCAATGGGAAATTAGAAAAACTGTTTTTCCGACGGCCTCGCAGCACTCGTCACCGTGTCGGTCGTCGTCGGGGTTCTCCGAAAAAAAAAACACGATCGAAACGCGAACCGGAACCGTCGCCGACGCGCGCTCACTCACGCCGACTGGGATTGTGAACAAGCTGTGGCCAGGCCCCAGCCGAGACTTACTTTGCTTGCCCCTGCGCCTGTCCGGGTGAGGGCGGAGAGGGGCAGCCGACCTGCAGCTGGTCGGCGGGCGGGGGCTGTTGTGGGGCTGTATTCTGGTTTGCTTGTGGTTGTGGTTGAGCACTGAGCTGAGCAAGCGAGCATTCGAAACGGGATACACAGTGGATACAGTGGCTACAGTGGCGGCGTTTGAGTGTGAGTGCGACTGCGAGTGCGAGTGAGAGTGAGAGTGCGCGTTTGAGCGCTTTGCGGAGTGAGTGCTATCTTTGAGCATAAACTATGCAGGCAGGCAGGCAGACACAAACGCTGTTGTAAAAGTTCAATAATTAATTAGCCCGACATTCGGGTTCTGGTGCATTGTTATTTGTCAAACTCTCCGCCCCAAAGGCGCGACCGGTTGCGTTGCCCTTTAATTGAGAAATACGATTTTTTGCAGTGCCATCGTTTACTGACCTAACGGTATTTGCGGCCTGTGCCGTACAGCCCATGCAAAAAGTGCATTAGGGTGGACATTGATGGCAAGGCCGGAGGAAAACCAATGAATTCGCGCAGCTCTGGCCAACCAGTCAGAGTAACAGAAACGTAACCGATTAGCGTGTTGTCCACTCAATCCTCCTTGCAAGAGAGAGACAGAGACAGAGCGAGAGAGAGAGCAGTAAAAGCCTGCGCACAACTCTGCAAAGGAAGCGAAACAGAGAGAGAGAGAGAGAGAGGGAGATGCTGCTGCAATTGCAGTGGCAGTTGGAGCCACCAGGGTGGAGGGGGGTGTGGTGTCCCGACTAATTGATTTACTTGTCCGCAGCCACCCCACTACCTCCCCCAGTCAGTCCCTGAGCTCTGGAGAGGATGCAAAATGGTCGACCGACGCTGGTTGGCTGTGGATGCGGCAGTGATGTGAATGGATGGACACTGGAGGAGTGGAGCCCGGGGTCGATGTAATGGCTGCCAAGTGGTTCGGTTCGGTTCGGTACGGTGTCGGTGTCAGTGTCGGTGTCGATGACAGTGTCAGTGTCGGAAGCTCTGCTTTGTTTTGGCAGAGCTTCGGCTTTTACATGGAATCCAAGGGTCTAACCTCAGGCGCCGTCGCCGTCGCCGTCGCCGTGGTCGTCGCCAAGTGCGGAACGGAACCACCACATGGAGGCGTCATTGGAGTCAGGGAGAGGCAGGTAATTGGCAGGGACACTCAAGCGTGTCTACCTGTCTGGGGGGCGTGCCACCCAGCACTGATAATGGGGAATAATCAATTTTAATGGCCTATAATCCGCCACCGCAGAATAACAATGATCACCCACCCGATGCTACCCGATTGAAAGGTGAACTTTTCCAGCGGAATGCTCCACCGCACGCCACACGAGAGGCACACGGGAGACACACGAGAGACGTCTACCCAAACACTCCCCCCTCACATACACAAATTTGTTGACGCAGTCCCAATGATTTATTTATTTATTGGATAAAAGACTAAGCAAAAGTCGCTTTCCACTAAAAATATTTAGTATTTAGTTGTCGGTGCGGGGAGGGGAGGGGAGGGAAGGGGAATGTTTGACTCAGCTTATATAATCCCAGATGATGGGCCAATTGAGTTTCACTCAAAACTCAAAACTAGAGTGAGAGAGACTGTCTGAGAGGCGGGACCAAGTGCTCTCGCTGCTTGCAGAGCTCTCCCGCTGTCTTGCGCGTCAGCCACACTAGTCGTCTCCCTCGCACGCATTGGAACTACGCTTTAATGCTGCGCCCAATGAGCAGCTGCGTCCACTGCTCAAAGAAGACCTCTCTGTCAACGATCCAAAGATGAAGGGGGTGAAGCGGGTGCAGCGGGAGAAGCGGGAGGGTGGAGTGGGGTCCACACCGAAGAGAAGTCTCTGTCCGACCCGATAGATAGCCAATCTTTGCATATCCCCGCTCCCCCTGATGATTGATTTCGGCCTCCATGATTGATTAGATTAATAACGCGGCTAATTAAACACTTATCGCTAACACACACACACACACACAGACACACAGACAGAACCCCGTGGGCGAACCCCCTCCTGCACCGCCGGCAACAAATTACGCCCGCTTCTAATTGCGTTTCGTGCAACATTTTTCGGGCCATGGCTAGGGATAGGGATGGGCGCATTAATTATGGCCGCCCCCGGCCAACGCCTGTCGGCCGCCATTATTCCTGTGGCAAAGTTCGTAGCCAGATAGCGATCTAGTATCTACATGCATTCCACATGGGGGCACCCAACCCAGTCCCAGTCCCAGTCCCAGGCCCAAGTCCAATCCCAATCCCAGACCAAAAACCAAGCCCTGTGCCTGGGCCTGTGCCGTTGCCGTGCATATTTGTGGTAGCCACGCTTCCTGTTTTTGTTTGTTTGCCCCTCTGCTGTCCGTTTGTCCGTCTGCTGTGTCCGCTGTCCGGCTGAAAATATTCCAAACAATGTAGACAAGAAGTGCCCCAGGGCGGAGTTTTTGTGCCTACAGTTAGCGACGCGGTGGTGTTTACCCACATGTAGGCATATGCATATGCTGATTTCCACCGCGGAGTAGGAGGCCTTCCCATTGCCATGGGAGTGGGATTGGGATTGGGACTGGGACTGGGACTGGGATTGCGATAGGGAGTGGGCATTGGCCGACCTACCACTTGGTGAACCGTAAAAAATAAACGTCGGAGCAGTAATAGCCCCACCCCCACCCCACCCCACCACACCCCCGCGCCGAAACCCACAAAAGAGAAGAGCGGCCATCGGAATTTCTGAATGCCAGTAAACAAATAGAAAATAGCTTTCTGGCACGGCCCTCTTCATGGGGCTTCCTCCAGGAGACATTCGTACGAGTGTGTAGCCCCTTGGTGTCCCCCCGCTTGGGTCTTGGCCGGACGGCGGAAATACGCTCTAGTTTCTGTTTTTGTAGATCGGAAATGTTTAGCGCTTGCCCAGAATGATTAAGGTGTCGCTTTTTGTCTGGCGGCTCCAGCAACATGTTCCATTTGCATACAAATAGATACTCGTATTCTCCAGATTTTGCAGAGTAATGCCGGAAGCCTCCTCTGAGTCGCGCTCCGACACATTGCGAACGGAGCAGATCGATTATTCCATTACTCCACTCCATTGTAGCCTCAGTTGAAGTTATTCTATTGTATCGCATGGCACTTCCCTCACAGCTACTTTTAAAGTACACCAGATCTCGAAGTGTGTATGATTCCGCCTCTGTAGTACGAAAAATGGTATGAATGGTATAGAATCTAAGCCATGAAAGATAACAAATTAACTGCAGCTCCAAGTCAACCTCCTATTCAAGAATTAAATGTTGCTACTAATAGTATTTAGATGTACCCAGCGGAATCTGTTTTGTAATCGGTAATCTAAGATGTACCTTACCTAAGTTTGTAATCAGCTTATCAGAATATTTAATACATATGAATAATAGTATTCAAACATTTTAAGAAGAATTTGGGTGTTTTGTTGGTTATTTATACGGATAAAACTATGGAAAAGTATGGTAGAGTCCTACCTTTGTTCCATAGATTGGGTTAGAATATATTTTCCCCTTAGGTCCATATCTGTAGAGAGATAGAAAGTCAACATCTCAGAGACTATAAGAGCTAGAGCAACCAAATTTGGTATCCACACTCCTGTGATATCGGACCTTGATAAGTTAGTTTCAAAATTTCGACACACCCCCTTCCGCCCCCACAAAGGACGAAAGTCTGGGGCATCCACAAATCTCAGAGAATATTTAGGCTAGAGTAACCAAATTTGGCATCCACACTCCTGTTAGATCTCACTAAAAAACGTATATTTCAAAATTTCGTTACCCCTCTTTTTTAAAATTTTTTTCTTTTATTTTAAGCAAAAATAATACAAATAAAAAATAATAATTAAACAATAAGAATCCAAAATAACAATTAATCATTAAAAATAAAAAATAATCATTATTCAATAAAAATCAAGAATAATAATTATAATAATAATTATACAATGAAAATCAAAAATAATAATTATATAATAAATGATTTGATCCATAAATAATAATTATTCAATAAAAATCAAGAATAATAATTATAATAATAGTTATTCAATAAAAATCAAGAATAATAAATATAATAATAATTATTCAATAAAAATCAAGAATAATAATTATACAATAAAAATAAAAAATAATAATTATAATAATAATTATTCAATAAAAATAAAAAATAATAATTTTTCAATAAAAATCAAAAATATTCAACAAAAATCAAAATTAATAAATAATAAATAATAATTATTATTATTCCCTCAGTATTCATACAAACATAAAACCTTAAATTTGTTAATTTATTTTAAGTTTATTTGGTATGTTTCTCAAACCCAAACGTACATTCATATGTATGTGTCCAAAGTAACTCCAGAGTCTTATATACATGCTGCCAGTCTTTGACAAATGCAGTCGGACAGGCACAACTTCACGACTACTTATAGTCACTTTCTAATCGATCAGTATTCATCTGTCATTCGAGTGAAGCTACCGAAAGTGGGGTTATGTTTGCGCATACCTGGATCGAGAATCAGATCAAGAGACGGACAGGGAGAGGGAGCGAGAGCGAGAGGGTGAGCTCATGTCCATCAATATCGCAGCGAGCACGCACTCATCAGAGGACCGCAACCAGTCCCCCTCCGCCTCCGCCTCCGCCTCCGCCTCCTTTGGGCGAAATGCAATGATTAACTTCTCGCCGAAGCTAAATTAAGTAAGTTTTTACTGGTCTGCCGATGGGGCACTGAGGAGTGTCAACCGTCGCCGTAGCGGCTCCTACTGCTGCTGCTGCTGCTGCTGCACGCTGCACCGCCGACAAGAGCAAATTTGCAGCTGAACAGGGGACGCTACCAGAGATCGGAGGAGGGAGGTGGCTGGGGATGAGGCTGGAGCTGGGGACGGGGACGGGCCATTGCGTGTCTGGGACTGGGGCCAGAAATGATT